TCCAGTTTCATTTTTCCACGTAGGTAACCTGTTCTCAAAAACCATTTATTGACTAGTCAGATTTTCCTCAGTACCCTACAACATTTACTGTGTGAGTACTGGATTTATTGCATTCCCATAAATACTTTGGGATTTTGTTGTGCTGTGCTATTTCATTACTTGGCCAACCCCTTCACTTGCAGCCTGTATCCTATCCCCTCACTTACCTAAGAATATTCCTCCAGCAAGTCTTCTCTCTCCTGCTTCATATTTTACTCTACCTGAGTATTCTTATCAGCATATAAGCACATTGTTATTTTTCCATATTAAATAAACAAAACTCAACCTCACTTCCCCCCTTAGCTTTGGCTATACCTCACTGCTCTCCTTCAGTACGAAACCTCTACATTTACTGTTGTTGGAGAGGGAAAATGTTTCCTCTACCCTCTTAGGTTTATTGTCTGGGGGCCTGTGAATTCACCTGACAGAAGAAGATTGGAAAGAAAAATTATGGGAGCTTACAAAAGAAGTAGCTTGATAAATGGTTAAAGTTAGTAGGGGAAAAAAATAGGGGTAGAAAAAACCTTTGGGGGAAGAGCACCTGGGTTTCTAGAAGAACAAATGGGAGATAGGAAAGCTTGTGATAATGCTTGTTCATGCAGGTGTGGGGTTTTTTTCCATCTCCATGGCCATAAGATTCCCCTGGAGAGAGAATTTATGGTAGATATATTCTAGGTCTCCTTCCTGGTAATGAAAGTCCACCCTCATCTACCCCTCAAAGAGGGAATTTATGGCAGCCTTACTTCCTAGAAGTCTCTTGTAGTCAGATAAGGGAAGCTCCAAGAAGGCTTCTTTCTGTATCCGCTGATGCCTTCAGCTTAAAATAATCTTCATACCAGCTCTGGGGTTCTGAATGGGTTCCTGCATCGTCTCCAATTCCTGTCTCCCCTTTCTTTCCTGAATCCTATTCAATCATTTCACTGTTCCACAATAGCTTTTGTCAAAGTTACCAAATGACTTCCACATTGCTAGATGTAATGGTTGTTCTCAACATTCATCTTACTTCCACTCTAGGTGCATCTGATATCCCCCAATCCTCAACACACATGATTCACTTGGTTTTCTGGATGCCAAGTGTTTTCCTTCTTCCTCACTGGTAACTTCTCAGACTCCTTTGCTGGCACTCTCATCTCCCCTCTTTTTATTGTAGTGTTAGGTCTTCCTGAACTTTTATAGATTTTTTAAAAAAGTTTATTTATTTATTTTGTGAGAGAGAGGGAGGGGGAGAGAGAGAGAGAGAGGGAGAGAGAGACTCCCAAGCAGGCTCTGTGCTATCATTGAGGAGCCCAATGCAGGGCTCCAACTCACGAACTGTAAGATCATGACCTGAGCAGAAACAGAGAGTCAACAGTTTAACCAACTGCATCATCCAGGTGCCCCAAGTCTTCCTGACCTTTTAATTCTCTATTTGTAGTCACTCCTTGGTGCCATATATTAATACTGTATAAATCCTGATGACTCCCAAATTTTTATTTCCTGATCTTATTTCAGTAATAAATTCATGTGTCTTTTCATCCACAACAATGTCTAACTGGCATTTCAAACTTACATGTTGCCATGGTCTGAACATTTGGGTCTGCCCTTCCTCTTTTTTTTTTTTTTTTTTTTTTTTTTAATGTTTATTTTTGAGAGAGACAGAGAACATGAGCGGGGGAGGGGCAAAGAGAGAGACAGACACAGAATCTGAAGCAGGCTCCAGGCTCTGAGCTGTCAGCACAGAGCTGGATGTGGGGCTCAAACCCTCGAACCATGAGATCAAGACCCGAGCCGAAGTCAGACACTTAACTGACTGAGCCACCCAGGCACCCCTGCCTGGGGTGAAGAGGAAGCCTCTTCTACCCCAAATTCATGTTGAAATGCCAAACCCCAGTGTAATGGTATTAGGATATGGGGCCTTTGGGAAGTGATTGTGTCATGAGAGTAGAAACCTCATGTATGGGATTAGTGATCTTATAAAACAGGCTCTACAGGGCTCCCTAGCCCCTTACACCATGTGAGGATAAAACAAGAAGCCTGGGATCCAGAAGAAGCACTTGATTGTGTTGGCACCGTGATCTTGGACTTCTAGCCAATAGAAATGTGAATAATAAATTTCTATTATTTATAAGCATCCAGTCTGTAAGTGGCCTGAATGGACTAAGACACATGTCCGAATCTAAACTCTTGATTTATTCCCTTCCATCCTTCTAGTTGATAGAGCAGTTTTTTCCTTCCCTCATACCTTAACATCCTGTACCATGAACAAATTGTTCATTGGTTATACCTACTAAATGTATCCAGAATCTTGCTATTTCTTATCAACTGCAACACTAGCACTCTGACCCAAGCCACTATCATCTCTCCTGGGATTACGTCATTAGCTTTCTGTGTTCCCTGCTTCCACTCCTGCTTTCAGTCCCTGCTCCCCAACATCTTTGCTTAACACAACATGCAGAATGGTTCCTCTATATTACTCAAAGTAAATGCTAATATCCATATGTCCAGCAAGCCCTTTTATTAAAGGTCAGCAGACTATAGCCAGAGGCCAAATCTGGTCAGCTACTTATAAATAAAGTTTTATTGGAACACAGCCACACACTCTTATGTTACGTATTGTCTATGCCTGTTTTCACACTACAACAGCAGTGTGACCAGAGATCCTATGGCCAACAAAGCCTAAAATATTTACTACCTGGCCCTTTACAGAAAATGTTTGTTACCCTACATGATCTGCCCTCTCTCTGCTACCTATCTCACTTCACTTCTGCTCCAGTGAGTTGTCTTGGCCTTCTTGGTGTTTTTGTTAGGCAAGCTTCTACCTCAGGGAGAGGCTGTTGCTGTTTCATCTGCCTACAATTCTCTTCTCTCAAGTATTCACTGCCTTACTTCCTTCAAGTCTGCTCAAAGATTACCTTTTCTGTGGAGCCTTTCCTTACCACTCTTTCATACTGTAATTCTCATCTCCGTCCTCACCCTGATGTTCCCAGTTTTTTCTTCGAAGTTCTCCTCCTTAATTCTCTACATTATTTATTGTTTTGTCTTTCTTCACCAGAATATATTCTCCATGAAGTCAGGGGATTCCCCCCACCCCCTATTCCTCATTTCTGTTTGCTGCCATATTTTGAGCATCAAGAAAATGAGGTAGGCACTTAATACATATTTGTTGGTGAATTCCCTATTCATGTTCCTTTTCTCTTTGACTTGTTCATTTATCCACATTCATTCGATACGTATTTACAGAGTAATTACACAGTGCTGACCACTGTGGAGAGCACTGGTAAAGGACCACACTGGTAAAGTGGCCCCTGTACTCAGAAATTTCTGCTTACATTCTGGGTCATTCATGGGGATGCTGGAACCAGCTGGTAACCGTGCTGAAGAGCTGAGTGATACACTTTATCTTTCAGTTACCAATTTCTGTTGTTAAATATCTAATTTTTTTAAAAAAAATTTTAACATTTATTTATTATTAAGAGATAGAGACAGAGCATGAGCATGGAAGGGGCAAAGAGAGGGGGAGACACAGAATCCGAAGCAGGCTCCAGGCTCAGAGCTGTCAGCACAGAGTCCAACACGGGGCTCAAACCCATGAGCCTCGAGATCATGGCCTGAGCTGAAGTCGGATGCTTAACCGACTGAGCCACTCAGGCGCCCCGTTAAATATCTGTTATTATACATTTAACTGCATGGCTTCACAATTAAACCATATGAAAAACGGAAGTAATGAACACCCCCAATTCACTGCTCCCTAACGACTTGACTTCGTTTTATTGTTCCTTGGCTCTGGAGGTTATTCACATCTAGCAAGGCGGCGAGCAGCTCATCTTTGGGAATGCCCAGCTACTGAGCCCACAGCGCGAACTCGCGGGCGCCCGGTCGGTGGAGCCCCCGTGTGCATCTGCTCCCAGCAAGCCCCTTCTGACGCTGAGCGCGGCCCCTACGGGCAACCTTCCCAACGACTGAGGCCAGGGGCTCCCTCCGAGTGCACGTGCAGGGGTCTCCAGGCGTGGAGAGTGGAGGTTCCCGGACGTCCCTGCACCGCTCGGCTAGACTCGGTCACTCTGGATGGAAGGAGCCTTTAACCTGGAAGGAAAGAGGGATCGATCACTCGGGCCTCCACTTGCCGAGCCTATGGCGAGCCGAGATGCGGGGATCGGCTGGGAATGCCTGGGCGCGCGGAGGCCGGTGGGAGGAGTGGGGTGGCCGGCCGGGGTCGCTGGCAGGCCGGCGCGCGGGAGGTGGCTAGGGGCGGTAGGGAGGGAGGGCGAAAGAGGGCGACAGGGCGGGCACCTTGGCGGAACCCAGGTGCGCGTCCCACGTGCGCGCACGCGGCCCCAGTGGGATCGTCCTCCCCCGAGCCTCAGAGGTGCGGTGGCCATAGCTGCACGGGGGACCCATGCGTGTTGACAGATGTCTGTGACTTGGAGGTGGGGGGGGGGGTGGGGCGCGGTGGAGTTTCTCCGTGCAGGGCAGTGAGGCCGGAATGACTCCGGGGGTCGGGCAGACAGGCATTCTCTGGCCCGGAAAAAGCCACTGATGCAGTAGTTTTCAAAGGGGGATCTGGAATAGTCAAATTTTCCCTTTTAAAAGATGGGTGATTTTAGATCTTAAGTCTGAGAAAATATCCCTGCGGAGCCTACTGCCGTCATTTTATGGGTAAGGGTCACACGGAGATTGCGTGTAGAGCTGGGAGTAGAGCCTTGGGTCTTCTGTCCCAAGCCCAGGATTTTGCTTATCTCAGGGGACACTGCCATTGCACGTTTTACTCTTTTCCACTCTGTTGTTGAATTCATTAAAGTGTTTTTAATCCACATGTGTTTTATTTTGTAGGAAGAAGAAATTGACTAAATGAAAAACATGAAGCCAAATAGAATCCCCCCTTGTATTGTTTCAAGACAGGGAAGTAAAAGTAAACCATTGTTGTCTTTTTCCAGTGATATCCTGGGTTTTATTACTGGAGACACCCAGTTTTTCTAATACTCATGATGTCAGAAGGGAAAGCTCCTGCGAAGAAAAGACCTCGTAGAAGTTTATCAGCCAGTAAAACTAAAACAAAAGAATGTAACTCTATTATTTCATTTTTTAACAATGCACCACCTGCTAAGCTTGCCTGCCCTGTTTGTAGTAAAATGGTGCAGAGATACGACTTAAACCGGCATCTTGATGAAAAGTGTGCTAACAATGATGACATCACTCCAGTTGATCAGAGGCATGTTGACTTAATAAATTCACATGTGCCTACAGTAGATTTAACCAATATTGTCTTAGAAGATGTAACACCAGGAAAGTTGTCACCATCAAAGATAAGTTTAACCCCTGACCAAAGTGATTCAGCAAAAATGGGCGTAAAACAGCAGACCAGCCCCTACTTTAAAAATAATGATGATTTGGGGTGCAAAAATCAAGATAAGCTGAGACATCATAATGTGAAAGTCATTACTTTGGGAAGCCTGTCATCTAAATTGTCCAGAAGATACACAGAAGCTAAAAGAGCAATAGGTAAGAATGAGGAATTTGCCAATAAGAGTCCACAGAGTTCCTCATCCACAGTGGTTAGGACCCTGGTTGATAACTGTTCAGAGACTGAGGACAAGGATCAAATTTTGGAGAACAGTTCTCAAAAGGAAAATGTGTTTGCCTGTGATTCTCTTAAGGAGCAGAGTACACCTGAACATACTGTAGAAGGCACAAAAATAATGGAAGCTGAAAGCCAAACGTCTACCCAGGAATATGAGAGATCACCCCTTGGCCCTGCCTTCTCAGATAATGCTGCTATGTTATTTTCACCAGATTTAACTCTTGGGAATACATTGAAGTCTACTTCAGAGCACAGTCTTGCAAAGTGGGAGAGCATCAAAGGAGTAGATAATCAAGATGTTGAAAAATGTGAGGCAGGTAGTTGTGAAGAAGTGAAAGTGACTGTTGCTTCAGAAACTAAAACACAGTTGTCAAATTGGGAGGCAAAGTCTGATAGTTCTACACATGATGATTCTAAAGGGCATAACATCCAGGACCTTTCTCTGGAAGGTGACAGTGACTTAAAGAATGAAATCACTTGCGGAATTCCTTTGGAGCAGGGGTCAAGCTGTGATGTTCCTGGTAAAACAATTACAGTACCACCAAGTCATCCTTACTACCTTCGGAGTTTCCTCGTGGTGCTGAGAGCTGTATTTGAGAATGAAGAAGATAGGATGCTCTTTGATGAACATGAGAGGGGAATTGTAACTAAATTTTATCAATTATCAGGTATCTCAAGCTCGTGTGCTTTCAAGTTTTTGTTTTCCATTTGCTGGCCTGATTTGGGCAGTAACCTAATGACCACAAGGAGTCAGTGTGGTTCTGTGAGTCCTCTGGGAATGCTCCTGGGAATCAGCCAGCCACAAGGTTTGAGAAGAACATGCATGAAAAAGAGATTTTGTGTCCGGTGATGTCTGCTTCTGCAGTATCATCCTTACAAGCTGTAATTTGGTTATAATGGAAGCATCTGTTTTTCCTTTATATGTATATTTGATGGTAATAAAACAGCCTTTTCCAGGTTAAAAAAAATACCTTTGTGACTTAGAAAAGTATACTTTGCTTTTGAGCATGTAATCAAGCTTAATTTAGGTTGTTTTATTGTTTTTACACACCATTTTCTCAAAACTGAAGTAAAATACAGGAAAGAACAAACCAAAGTATATTAAGGCTTATTTTTTCCTTCAATTTTAGGTTTTTTGACTCTGCCTTTTAAGGTCAGGGTGTGGAGGAATTGGAAACTTTCAGGCTAAATTGGTGCATTTAAAAATAATGGTCTATGCCTCAGTTCCTTGGCAGCCAGTGGTGGCTCTGAGCCGATAGTGCACATTTGGAGCAAAAGCCACCCTTGTAGCATTGCTAATCCAAAGGGCCATGATGGCTTTATGGAACTGAGTCCCTTCTGAGGTAGGAAACGCTTACTTGGGAGCTACACTGACCTCCCATAATTTGTAGTCAGGTTTGACTCTTCAGTAGAGTTAAAAAAAAGATCTTAAACATTGCCAGGAATGTTCAAGAGAAGGGTTTTTGTTTTAAATGCACACAATGGAATTACGGTATTCTTAGTATTGCTTTGACATGTGAGTAATACTTCTCTAGGCACAGTTGCATTAATTATCCTCACAGCCTCCGTCTCTACTTATGCTGTCCTCACCAGAACGTGGACATGAATGACACCACATTGACTCTTCTGTCCATGGAAGTTACAGATCTTTAGTTGGGTGCTGGTTGTATTCATGTGAGCATTTGAGTAGTCCATGGCTCTGTGCTTCTGTATAATTGAGAAGAATGAATAGTTCCCTGAATGGAATTTTTGCAGATTCTTGTGTATGGCTCCCCACAGAGAATAATCTGCAGTGTCTCTGTGTGAAAATAAGTACTGCTGATTGCATTTTCCTCTTTAAAGAAAAAAAGGGGGTGGGGAGTTGAAGATTTAAGGAATACAGTTACACCATTTTAGAATTGGCAGAAATTTGAAGATAATCCAGATAACAGGAAAACTGACCAGGTTAATTAAATAACTTGGCTAAGATCACCAAGTTAGAGATGGCTGCCCTACCAATGCTAGACGAATTTTGAAAATCTTTTCAGATTATTTTCAGCCAACAATAGAGTCGTTCGTATTAAGCTGAAAGTGGAGAATAAAATAACTGGAATTCTGGGTAGGGCTTCTCTGATGGAGTAAAAATGTTGGTGGCTAGACAATGGGAAACCTGGTACTTAGAAGTTTTAAAATGGCCAATAACCATGACCAACTTTGGAGATTTTTTGTTGTTTATACACCAATCATCGAATGCCTCATCTTGTTTAATCTTTTCAGCAACATTGGGAAGATGGTGTTATTGCCCCATCCCACCCCCACTTTTTTAACAGAAGAGAAAATGGAGTCTCGGTAAGGTTCATAGATTTGTATAATTCAGAAGTGGCAGAGCTGGTCCCATCCTGGATATTCTTACTGTCCTATGGTGGCAGGCACACAGGACAAGGAGACATCTCCATGGGGACTTATATATGAAATAAATTGTATCTTCCAAAGGAAGAAAAAGATGTTCTTGGGTGATCAGTTGAGTAAGCATAAGTGTATTTCTAATAGAATATGTTGTATTCAGTTTTAAAAAGTGAATGTTTGTATGTTGTTTTGAGAAGAGAGATAATTTTCACAACTTTTCTTGCAGCTAGTGGTCAGAAGTTATATGTAAGACTTTTTCAACGTAAATTTGGCTGGATTAAGATGAATAAATTGGAATATGAAGAGATTGCTCCTGACTTAACACCTGTGATTGGAGAACTGCAGCAAGCAGGCTTTCTGCAGACAGGTATGATTAGTCAAAGGAAATGTAAAATGAAAATATGACACGAATAACTAAGTTTCTGCAGAATGATGGTGATACCAGGATGGTGTCATTTCCTGGTTGGTGCCTGGTAAATAGTAATTTTTTTTTTAATTGAATTTTTAACCTTAGGACAACAGATTATTCATGTTAAAGCCATTCTTAGCCTGTGTGAAGACCACTGTTGTTTTCTTGGCTGTTTTGTATTTAGGACGATAAAGTCCTCTCTGGATAGATAGGTGGCCGTGGGCCGCTGAAGAAACTCATCCCTTCTCAGCTCTCACCTTCCAGCAAGAATCTGACTCATTCAGATGCCTTATCTTTGTGATAGAATAAAGCTGGTTTGCTTGAAGTTAATATTGCCTCTAAAAGTTTCATCTACTCCTACACGCACGCATATACAGCTCTTATAGTTTATAAGTTGATTGCCTCAGAAGTTCATTGACTTAGGCCTATGAGACTATTAGATAACTATGGTTGTCTTGTCAGTAGATTCATTAAGCACCTACCTGTACTGAATGCAGTGTTGTACTAGAAACGTAGGTGGAGGAAGAATGTGAGTCTTCAGTAGTTGCTGACAGTGTAGACTGAAATAAGCAAATCAAGCCAAAGCCAGGTGGTTTCTGTGTGGTGGTTTGTAGTGGAGAGCAGTTAGTAAAGTGAGGTTAGGTGATGTGGCGGGCCTGGGGGAAGGCATAGATGCTCAGTGAAGAGGCTTGAATGTGAAGGATTAGGCAGTGGGACTCGGACCCCTGCTTGGAGCACGGCTTCCTACCCATCAGTGCCATAGTGTCACCTGGGAGCTCCTGTCCCCACCTGGAGGATTTGATGCAGATTCATAAATCCACAAGTTTAACAGGCATGCCAGGTAACCGCTGCAGGTGAGCCTTGACTTACCTTTAAACGACCTTTAGGCAACAAAACCAGAACCCTCGTGGCTCACTGTTGCACTCAGTCAAGTCCGAGTTTTGCCCTCGATCTGCACAACCCTGTGGAACCTGGCTCTGATTGCCCCTCCTGCTCTGTCATGGCCACAGAGCACTCCTCGGTGTTCTTCAGCATGCTGAGTGCACTCCTCTTTCAGAGCCTTGTACTTGCTGCTACACGGCTCATTTCATCCAGCTGTGCTCTGTGTCACGTCATCAGACATTTGCCTGACCACTTGCTCCCTGCCATGTTTGCTTTGCCATAGCCAGTTTTATTTTCGTTATAACCCTTATCCCCACCTGACATGCATACTTGCTTATTATGCTAGGAGCTGAGCTCCTTGTGGACCAGGACTTGTTTTGGTCATTGTAGTGTGCCCTGGGCCATAGAAGATTACTTGGCATGCAGTGTACACCCACTAAGTACTTGCTGAGTGGAGGAAAAAGGCACTGCCCTAAGCTGTAAATGCCTAGAAGGCAGATACCAGCCAAGTCTGATTCAGCTGCATCCTGGGTCTAGGGTGATGTTTGGGGCCTATAATAGCAGACATATCCATGTATGTTGAGTGAGTGAATCCATGAAGAGGCCTGTGGGGAGGGAGGAGAGCTGATGGTCAGCTTTGGGAGAGGTCCATTTGAAGTGTTTGTAATCCGAGAGCAAATATACCAGTGAGTTTTTAAGGAGAATGTGCAAGCTATAATGGCTATCCATATGTGTCTTTATTTTATTTTCCTTTGTTTTTTTAGTGAGAAATTCTATTAATTTATAACTGTTATGAGGTATCTATTTTCCATATTCTTTTTTTGTGTGTGTGTTTATTTATTTTGAGAGAGAGCATGTGAGCATACGTGCAAGGGGTGGCAGGAGGAGGGGCTGAGAGGTAGGGAGAGAGAATCCCAAGCAGGCTCCAGGCTGTCAGCACAGAACCTCACAAACCATGAGATCATGACCTGAGCTGAAATCAAGAGCCAGACGCTTAACCAACTGAGCCACCCAAGTGCCCCTCTATATTCTTTAATAATTGCTTTGGCAAACTAATTACAATTTCTGCAGTAGAATTCCATTATATTTGCATATAACTAAGCTTCATTCTTCTTAAAGTAAATAGAGCTAGAAAATAGTAAAATTCCTTAAAACTATGTTTAACTTTTTTTCTTTTTTTAAAATCCATTTCAGAGTCTGAGTTGCAAGAACTCTCTGAAGTGCTTGAACTGCTTTCTGCTCCTGAACTAAAAATCCTGGCCAAGACCTTCCACTTAGTGAATCCCAATGGACAGAAACAGCAACTCGTGGACACCTTTCTCAAATTGGCCAAACAGCCTTCAGTCTGCACTTGGGGAAAAAATCAGTCTGGAATCGGTGCCGTGATTTTAAAAAGGTTTTGTTGACCGTCATAACAATAAAAGCATTTAAAATGTTGATAGCACATATTAACTTATTATAACAGTACATTTTTTCAAAATATAATTACTTGTTTCAGTTGCAGTTAGATTAAGAAGTCAAAAGAGTATTACAAGGCTTATTACAATAGCCTGGATTCTTTCTTGGTTTATTATTTATAATTCTTGTAGTACTATATCTGGAGCAAGAAATTTCTAGGACCAAGAAAAATTAGGAGGCAATAGGCCTTTAGTAAATTCTAGTATTTTATTATTCAAGAAAAATGCAGTTTTGGCTACTGTTCCTACAGGATTTAAGGCTAAACTATTCAGTCAGATATTTATTTTAGTCAACTTTTTATTGAAGTGTAATCTGTCAGTCTTAATATGCAACTATTTTTGAGTTTAGACATAAAATTTACTAAAAACTGTGGTTTGTTTCTTTTGTTTTTTTTTTTTTTAATTTTTTTTTATTTTGAGAGAGAGAGAGAGAAAAGGAGAGCATGGGTGGGCATGAGTTAGAGAGGGGCAGAGACAGAGAGAGAGGGAGAGAGAATCCCAAGCAGGCTCCATACTACCAGCACAGAACCCAACGTGAGGCTTGATGTCATGAACTATGAGTCTATGACCTGAGCTGAAATCAAGGGTTTGATGCTTAACTGACTGAGCCACCCAGACACCCCTCTTTAGCTTTTGTGACAACCTTGAACTGTTTCAGTTTGGGAAAAATGTGAAAACTTTAAGAATTTATTTCTTCTGCTCACATGATCTATAAAATACAACTATAATAACTTTAGTCTGGGAGTCCACTGTTCTGGAATTGTTGAGGATGAAGTGAGTGATGCTTTTGAAAATACTTTAAAACAGTGTCAGTGTTATTTATTTTGTATAATATATATGTTGTGTGTATCTGAATACACACAAAGATATACATGTGCTTGTGCACAGGTAACTTTCAGCTGTTACTTGCCAAGAGCCCATCTTTGTTGGGAAGATATTATAAATACTACTCTTTTATAAAACATAGGTATAAAAAATTATTAAGAAAATTGTCACTACTAACACTTCAAAAAGTTTATACTGTATCTTTTTAAAAAAATATTTTAATTATGTATTTAGAGTTAATTGGCTTTAAGATCCACATGGTTGTAGTATGTTAAATCTCTTCAAAGTCCTTTCTTTTTAAGTTGTTTTTAAAGTTTTTATTTTACTTCCAGTTAACACAGTATTATATAAGTTTCAGGTGTACAATAGAGTGATTCAGTACTTCTATACAACACCCTCTGGTGCTCATCACAAGTGCCCTGTTTAATCCCCATCACATATTTAACCTATCCCCACACTTCCCTTCTCTCTGATAACCATCAGTTTGTTCTCTGTAATTAAGAGTCTGTTTCTTGATTTCTCCTCCCTCTTATTTTTTTCCCTTTGCTCGCTGTTGGTTTTATTTCTTAAATTTCATGTATGTGTGAAATGACGTGGTATTTGTCTTTTCTGGCTGAATTATTTCACTTATCATTATACTCTCTGGCTGTATCCACATTGTTGCAAATGGCACAATTTCATTCTTTTTTATGGCTGAATAATATTCCATTGTATACATATACCACATCTTTATTCATTCATTAGTTGATGGACACTTGGACTGCTTCCATAAGTTGGCTGTTGTAAATGATGCTTCAATAATCACCAGGGCACATATGTCCCTTCAAATTAGTATTTTTGTATTCTTTGGGTAGATACCTAGTAGTGCAGTTGCTGGATCCTCCTCTAGTTCTATTTTTAACTTTTTGAGAAACTTCCATACTCTGTTCCAGAGTGGCTGCACTACTTTGCATTCCCACCAGCAGTGCAGGAGAATTTACCTTTCTCCACATCCTTGCCAACACCTGTTGTTTCTTGTGTTGTTGATTTCAGCTGTTCTGACAGGTGTGAGGTGATAGCTCATTGTAGTTTTCTTTTTTTTTAAGTTTATTTACTTATTTTGAGAGAGAGAGCAAGTAGGAAAGGGGCAGAGAGAGGGAGAGAGAAAGAATACCAAGCAGGCTCCACACTGCCCGCGCAGAGCCCGATGTAGGGCTTGAACTCACAAAACCGTGGTATCATGACCTGAGCTGAAACCAAGAGTCAGACGCTTAACTGACTAAGCCACCCCAGTGCCCTCTCCTTGTAGTTTTGATTTGCATTTCCCTGATGGTAAGTGATGATGAGCATCTTTTCATGTGTCTGTTGGCCATCTGAATGTTTTCTTTGGAGAAATGTCTGTTCATATCTTCTGTTCATTTTTAAATTGGATTATTTATTTTTTGGGTATTGAGTTTTGTATGTTATTTATGGATTTTGGATACTATTTGATATGACATTTGCAAATATCTTCTCCCATCCCATAGATTGTCTTTTAGTTTTGTTGATTATTTCTTTTGCTGTGCAGAAGTTTTTTATTTTGATGTAGTCCCAATAGTTTATTTTTGATTTTGTTTTCCTTGCCTCAGGAGACATAACTAGTAAGAAGTTGCTACAGCCAATGTCAAAGGGGTTACTGCCTGTCTCCTCTAAGGTTTTTATGATTTCCTGACTCACATTTAGGTCTTTAATCCATTTTGAATTTATTTTCATGTATGGTGTAAGGAAGTGGTTTAATTTTTTATTCTTCTGCGTGTTGCTGTCCAGTTTTCCCAACACCATTTGTTGAAGAGACTGTTTTCCATTGGATATTCTTTCCTGCTTTGTCAAGATTAATTGACGTTGTAGGTTTATTTCTGGATTTTCTGTTCTATTGATCTACGTGTCTATTTTTGTGCCAGTACCATACTGTTTGGATTACTACGGCTTTGTCGGTGCCTGGCTGGCTCAGTTGGTAGAGCATGGGACTCTTGATCTCGGGGCTGTGAGTTCAAGACCCACATTGGGTGTAAGGATTATGGATTACTACAGCTTTGTAGTATAACTTGAGCTCTGCACTTGTGATGCCTCCAGCTTTGCTTTTCTTTTTCAAGGTTGCTTTGGCTATTTGGGTTTTCTGTGGTTCCATACAAATTTTAAGCTTGTTTGTTCTAGTTCTGTGAAAAATGCTGTTGGTACTTTGACAGGAATGGCATTAAATGTGTAGATTGCTTTGGGTTCTACAGACTTTTTTTTTTTTTTTTTTTAATTTTTTTAACGTTTATTTTTTGAGAGGGAGAGAGACAGAGTGTGAGCAGGGGAGGGGCAGAGAGAGACAAGGAGACACAGAATCTGAAGCAGGCTCCAGGCTCCGAGCTGTCAGCACAGAGCCCAATGCGGGGCTCGAAGTCACAAGCTGTGAGATCATGACCCGAGCCGAAGTCAGATGCTCAACTGACTGAGCCACCCAGGCGCCCCGGGTTCTACAGACTTTTAACAATATTTGTTCTTCCAATCCATGGGCATGGAATGTCTCTTCAGTTTCTTTTATCAGTGTTTTATAGTTTTCAGAGTACAGGTCTTTCACCTCTTTGGTTAGGTTTATTCCTAGGTACCTTATTATTTTTGGTGCCATTGTAAATGAGGTTGTTTTCTTAATTTCTTTCTGTTGCTTCATAATTGTTATATAGAAATGCAGCAGATTTCTGTACATTGATTTTGTATCCTGCATTCTAAATCCTTTCTATAATTGCATTCATTACATATTTTTTGTTAACCTTATATAACATTTTATAAGTAAGTGAACATTAAAATTAGCAAGCAACACTCTCAGTATAAGCACTAAGCATATGAACAGAAATAAAAGAAATAAGGTTAACTTTTTTTTTTTATTCCTAACTTTGGACTTGTAGGAAGGAGCATAAGATTCTCAAGGCTATTTTAGTTGTACTAAAATCACTGTCCTTCAAGACTGTACTTTATTTCTTCATTTTGTTTTAGAGCCTTGCACTGGGATCTGTCTCTGACAGCCCCATGTGAGGGCAGTGTTTTGTTATCTTACTCTGCTGTTATTATGAAGAAACAGAAAAAGGCGCATCATTTACACTTTCTTCATCCCAGTAGATAATCACTGTTCATTTTACCATGTTTTATGGTTCCTTCTGAACTCGGAGACTTGGCTGACTGCATTGCTGGGGCTCTGAATGAAGATGGAGGAATTGGACTCTTTTTATTAGTCTCTGTGGATGAGTGGTTCTCAATTAAATGGTGGTGTGATAAGAATCTCACCCCTGTCCCCTCATGCCTCTGGTGGTGGCATTGATTCCTACAACACCCCTAGAGATGCAGCACTTCTTTTAGGTTAATAGCTTCTGGGGAGTGACTTTGCTCTCCAGGGAACATCTGGAGGTATTTTTGATTGTCGTGATGAAGAGGGAAGTGGGTGCTGCTAGCATTTAGTGAGGCCAGTGATGCTGCTGAGTATCCTGTAATGAATACCCTCCTCCTATAACAGCGCCCTCCTCCCCAGCAAAGAATTGCTGTGCCCAGATCTCGATAGTGCCAAGTTTGAGAAACGTTGATCTATTTTTTTTAATGTTTATTTATTTATTTTGAGAGAGAGCGTGAGTGTGCATGTGGGAGGGGCAGAGAGAAAGGAGAGAGAGAATCCCAAGCAGGTTCAGTACTATCAGCACAGAGCCTGATGTAAGGCTCGATTCCATGAACCATGAGATCATGATCTGAGCTGAAATCAAAAGTCAGATGCTCAACCAACTGAGCCACCCAGGTGCCCTGAGAAACACTGTTCTAGATGGTATCCAAGTTGTGAGAGCTAGAGGGTCCATGTGGCCCTGAATTTAATTCAGACCTCCAAACCTACCTTGAAGGCATCCAGAATCAAACCAGGATTTACAGCGGTTACCCTGGAGTGGAGATGCCTCTGGACCACTTTGCACACACAGAACAGCACCAAATCTTGGTACCACTTCTTGGTGCATGAAAATATGCTGCCTAACCAATAGCCTTTGATAATGACATTTTGTTTTATTTTTTCAAATTTTTAAAAAAGTAATCTCTGTGTCTAACATGGGGCTCAAGCTCACAACCCCAAAATCAAGAGTTGCATGCTCTACTAAGCTAGCCAAGCACCCCAATAATGACATTTAAAAAAAAATAACTATTATTTAGTCTGAATTGTCACTTGTCAAGATGTGAAAATTGCTCATGTCAGATAGGTAATACTTTTATGAGTTTTCCTGGTATTTCACACATTGATGACCAGTGTAAACCCTGTCTTGCCCTTTTATTGAGCCAAACCATGTGTGAAACTATTTGGAGATAACATTTTATTTAATCTTCACCATGTCCCTAGGTAGGCTCTGAGCCAAGAGAGGTTAAGTTATGCTCCAAAGTCACACAGCTGGAAGTGGTAGATTTGTTTTAGCTTAGAATAATGAATGCAACTTATCTTTATTTTATCTAAAAGTAATTTGTAGGGGCGCCTTGGTGGCTCAATTGGTTAGGCATCCGACTCTGGATTTCAGTTCAGGTCATGATCTCAATGTTCATGAGTTTGAGCCATGTGTCAGGCTCCATACTGTCAGTGTGGATCCTCTCTCTGTGATTCTCTCTCTCTGCCCGTCCCACACATGCGTGCTCCCTCTGTCACAAAATAAATAAACTTAAAAAAAAAATGTATAAAAAATGAATGTTAATAGATGAGAATAATTTGTAAAATCTAACATCCAAATGCTTGTAAAAATACCAGAAATTTATTTCTATGTTGTACATTTTTCAGAGCTAAAGATTTGGCAGGAGAGTCACTGAGAGTCTGTAAAGGCCCTCGGGCTGTGTTTTCCCGGGTCTTGCTGCTATTTTCATTGACGGACTCCATGGAAGACGAGGAAGCTGCCTGTGGTGGTCAGGGACAGCTTTCTACTGTGCTTTTGGTCAATCTTGGCCGAATGGAGTTTCCTAGGTACACCATCAATCGGAAAACCCAAATCTTCCAAGATAGAGATGATCTCATCAGGTAAGATGGTATTAACTCATTATAATAGCTGTGTGACGGAATGTATGTAAAAGGTTTTATTATTATTATTTACCAGTTACAGTAGAAACAGAAGTCAATAGCCAAAACAGTTTTTGAAGTTTTTTGCTTTTGTTATCCTTCTGTCCCACTTGTATACGTTTCTAAGACTATAAGGAGAATGTATAAACATACCTAGATTAAGGTTGCCAAAACCAATGAGCTTTGAGTTAGAAACTTTTCCCTGGCTTATATTCCCAAATAGCTTTGGCAGGACACATTTTGTAAATACAGATATTTGAACAAACCTGCCTTGTGAATATCTTGTTGGTTCGAACAAGGCTGAAGATGAATGTTTTCATGTAATAATGACTTAGATAAAGTGAATACTAACTTGTGTGCTGTATACTTGAATCAAACACATGATAGTTTAGAAATTGTCACTGATGTATTTTGGTACATGGACTCAGTGAATGTTTGGTTTGACTGGCCATAGAAGGTTTTGGTAAAGAGTGGTATAGTTCTTAGAGGAAAAAAAAAAATACTTAGATTTCCTTAAAAAAAAAAAAAACATCACTTAACAAGAAAAATTAATTCGAATTCCTAAAATGGCACTTTTGATTCTTAAGATTTATGACTCAGATGTAACTGAAATAGATTCTGATCTCTGATTGCAGGAGAGTTGGTTATGTATTGTCTAATGTGTGCTTTAAAAAATAATTTATTGAGGGGGCAGCTGGGTGGTTCAGTTGGTTTAGCATCTGACTCTTGATTTCTGCTCAGGTCATGATCTCAAGGTCTGTGCAGACAATGCGAAGCCTACTTGGTACTCTTTCTGCCTCTTTCTCTGCCCCTCCCCTGCTTGTGCTTTCTCTCTCTCAAATAAACATTTAAAAATATTAAAAAAATAATTTACTGAAATTATTGAATCAAAGCAGCATCAGTGTAAACTTATTCCTGCCCAGTTTGCTTAGCTCTCAGGAAGCTCACTGTCTTGTTGGTGTTTGATTGGAATAAAATCTAATAAGAGTATTTCCTTACTCTGGTTTGAGTTGTCCCATGTCTTTTACCTTTTCATTTTTAGTGACTTGCTGCTGTTCTCTTTCGTGAGACTGTGTATGCTGAAACTAAGTTCCAGTCTCTCTGTACTAATGACCTATAAGACCATTCTTTGCCTCAGTTTCTTCATCTGTGAACAGGGAGAATAATAGTGTATTCCTCCAGATCTGTGTTAATACATGTAAAGTGCTTAGTCCTTGGTCCCTGGGGATTGCTTAGTATGTCCTAGTATTATCATTGTCCTTATTACTGGTATATCTAAGGGAGATTACTTTTTAGTTCTATGATTGACATAACCATGGTTGACAAGTTCAAAAGTGGGGGAGCTAGGGTGAAAAACCATCCTAGATTCTTGTGAGAAAGTAGGTATCCTGTAAATAAAAAAAATAATTAAAACTTCTTTTGTTATGCAAAGGACATTAGCATGTTAATGAAATTGGATTTAACTGACTTCAGGAATGGTAATTATATAATACCTGGTGATATGATACCTAGTCTGAGAAATCTTTTTGGCCACCTTGGTACTTAAAATAATTTATCCTGTCTTTTCTTTTTTCTCATTTATTCAACATATATGAGTTGATTGTTGAGTACCTATTATGAGCCTCGGTGGTGGGGTTACAACATGATCAGATGGGGTTTTGCCTCCATGGGGTTCTGTTTTCCTAGGGGAGATAGAAAATAAGAATAATTGTAGCATGTGAAAAGTGCTTTGATGATTGAGGGGTTGGCCGGGGAAGTTCTGCTTTGCAGAGAAAGTGCCCCTGGAGAGGTAACATTTGGATTGAGACTCAAGATTGAGGGGGAGCCAGCCATGCAGGGAGCACGTGCAACAGACCCTGAGGCAGGAGCCAACTTGTTGAGTCAGAGAAACTCAGAAGACCTCTGTGGCCACAGCCCCAGGGGCAGTAGTGCAAGCCCCAGAGGTCAGACAGGAATGCAGAGCTGGGGATGCTCAGCCTCAGAAGCCCTATGGACAGACTCAGTCATGCTCTCTGAGCAGTGGGCAGCCATTGAAGAGGTTATGGCAGGGGAGTGATCTGTTTCATATTTTCTGAAAGCATCCTGTGGAGTAGCGGGTGGAAGGAAGCCAGGGAAGCTACGAGAAGGCTGACTAACTTGGTGGCCTAGGCGAAGGTCTTGACTGGTGGCAGTGGCAGTGAGGTGAATGGGTGAGATATTTTGGAAGGATAAGCGACAAGGCTTGATTATGGTTATGACTAGATACAGTGGGAGAATCACGGAGGGCTCTAGTGTTCTGACTCGGCTGGTGGTACCCTCGATGAGCTGGGGATTGGGAGAGAGGCGGTGGGAAGGATGGCAGTGCTGGGAGGGGAGCGGTGTTTGGGATGCCCGCTAGCCGTTCAGGTGAGGCTGTGAGCATTTGGAGTCACTGCATGTGGACGGTGTTGGAAGCCATGGAGCTGGATAGACCCCTCAGGGGTAAGAGGAGGAAGGGGCCGTGGCAGCCAGCGTTTGTCAGGTGGAGTGGAGGAGTGTCCAGGAAAGTGGGGGGAAGATTAGGAGCACGTGTGGCATGGAAGCCTAGAGAAGAGTGTGTCAAGGAGGGGCAGTCTTGTGTCTGCAGTCACTAGGGGACTGAGTAGATGTGGAGCCGGAGGTAGAACTGTCGGATTTGGCGAGATGTGCGTAGTTGGTGGCCCGCGCATTAGCCGCTTTAGAGGAATGTGTGGAGGGTGATGGGGATGCCAGCAGCCATTCTGGGAAGAAGGGGAGGCAGAGGATGGCTCTGAAACAGCCACTGCTGCAGTGGGGTATGAGGGCAAGCAGTTTTGTTCTGCTGTTTTAAGGGTGGCAGATACAAGGGTGCCTGTGCACTCAAGCACTGATAACTGATGGAAAAGGAGAGGCTGCCCAGAAGGAAAAAGGGGATAGCCAGAGGGCAGAAAGCTGTGGGGAGATGGGACGGTCTGGGGTCCAGAGGGCTGGAGGGAGGGTAGATGTGTGGGCAGGGGTGAGGCTGCAGTGATGAGAACCCAAGAGGGCCCCTCGAGTGGCCTCTGTCCCTGCTGGAGAGGTCTGATGGGGAAGCTTGCATGGCGAATGTGGCTGGGAAGGCAAAGGTAGGAAGGAGCAGTCCTGCAGGGCAGGCAGGGGCCAGTGAGCCTGGCTCTGTGGTTTTCTTCAGCACCATTCAGGGACCTGGGCACAGGCTCACAGTGGTCAGCCTGGACACTGTGATGAGGGTGGGCCTGATGAACAATGTGGATTCACCAGCGAGTGGTGGCTGGTTGACTCCAGGTGGGGCATGGAGGCCTGCAGGACAGGACACGGTTATGGCTGGGGAAGGGGTCATGGTGGGTCTTGGCAAAGTTGGGGAATTGTTGCCATCATAAGAGAGCTGGAAGGATTGGAGGTGGAGGTCAGTGAATGAAATGCTCAAAATGAAGATATTGAGGGTGATGCAGTGCATCAGAGACAGAGGTTCAGAACAGCTGTGGTGCGGGTAGCAGAAGGGAGGTGAGTAAAGGGTTATTGGCCAGGAGGTCTTGAAACTGAACGTGCTGTGTATCCTCACAGACATTGAAGTCACATGCCATTGTGGCTGGAGACCTGAGGCAGAGCAAGACAGAAGACAGGAGGCCAGCAGGTGCCCTCGAGAAGCACGGGCTTCCAAGGAATGGGGGCTTTCAAGGAGGGGAGAGTGATTGGGAAGCAGCTGGGAAGAAAGGTGGACTCCTCCATTTGTCTCTGGGCGGGGAGGGCTGAGAGAAGAGCCCTCCCCTGCTGGAGAGGGCTGCAGGGGGAGCTGGGAAGGAGCCTTGTTCTCCTGAGGTGGCAGGAGACACCTGGGTTGGGGGGAGGGGTTGAGATGGGAGAGGTGCTGCCAGTGGGCGGTTCTGGCAGCACCAGGGAGGTGTGGATGAGAGGAGGGCTGATGACCCTTTCCAGTGACAATGAGAGGAGATGAGGCACGAGGGGGTTGGTTGGCCTCTGTGGCCTCTCGAATGTGGGGCTTGTTGAGGCCACGAGGCTGGGAGTATGGGGCCTGCTCCTGACACTCCTGGCCATGGAGGTGTTCCTGCCAGGCTGGGCCAGCCTCCAGGCAGTTCTCTCTGTTGTGTTCTCCTTTCTTATAGACCTCGGGAATGTCCCATAGCATTTCATAAGAGAATTAGATCTACAAATTTGTGAGCAAGTTTTTCCATTTAGAGGCAATTTGTTTTTATTTTTATGTGAGTGCATTTGCACACAATGATAGTGCGTGCTTTTCTTTTAGGTGTGAGCCCCAAGACCATGTATGCACAGTGTCACTTGGGCAAATGTCTCTGTTTTGGGTGTATCTAAAGATGCAATGAGAAGTTGTCTTTCTTCAGCTAAGTGGTTTCATAACCTGTCAGCATTGCTGTCTCCCAAAGAATGCATCTTTGGGTGGTATCACCCAAAGTCTGGCTACATCTGCCTAAATGATTAGGTTACCAGATCCACGCTTTAATGTGACTTTGAAGTCACTTACTGTTTACATGGTTGCTGCCAGATTGCTGAATGAATGAGTACCAAGAATCAGAAATGATGAGCTGATGAATATTACATTTATCTATGGAACATGTTAACGTGTAATACAGTGTGACTGTTTTTCTCCTCCTAGCTGGGTATCCTGTATTCTTTTAGGTTACTTTAGGGCAGTAATATGCTGTTATTAGAATCGAATTTATTTATTTATTTATTTATTTATTTATTTATTTATTTATTTATTTAAATTAATCTTTATTTATTTTTGAGAGAGAGAGAGAGAGACAGAGTGTGAGCAGGGGAGGAACAGAGAGAGAGGAAGACACAGAATCCGAAGCAGGTTCCAGGCTCTGAGCTGTCAGCACAGAGCCCGACGCGGGGCTCGAACCCACGAACTGCAAGATCATGACCTGAGCCAAAGTCAGACGCTCAACTGACTGAGCCACCCAGGTGCCCCTAGAATCAAATTTAAATAACCCCTATATTTTCAGAAACACACTCTTACCCTTCAGAATTAGATCCTGGGGATAGGATGTGGTATTTTTTATGTAAATGTTCATTCACATTTGAAACTTGGATGGTGTGGGGCTTTTCCCCCAGATACGCAGCGGCCGCGCACATGCTGAGTGACATTTCTACTGCAATGGCCAATGGGAACTGGAAAGAAGCTAAAGAGCTCTCTCAATGTGCAAAAAGTGATTGGAACAAACTGAAAAACCACCCTTCCCTGAGGTGAGATCTTTTCTAGGTGCCTGTCAAAATTTACTTAGAATCAAGTTGTTTCAACCACTTGAGGTAATTCTCTTCAGGAAGAACTTACTCCTTTTGTTCTGTGGTCAAAGCAGCTGTGCAGTTGAATTCCCCACTTGCTTTGCATACCCACAGTGTTGTGTGAAATAGAAGGGAATGTCTGAAAGTCTGAAGTGAATTTTAGATAACTCAGATCGCTTGCACCAGGCATTGGAGTGAACAAACAGCTTTCCATTTGCCATCTTTTTTTTAAATTGAGATATAATTGACATATAACATAGTATTTGTTTCAGGTGTACAGTATGATGATTTGATATTTATATAAATATTGCAAAATGATCATCACAGTAAGTCTAGTTAACATCCATCACCATAGTTACAAGTTTTTTTCTACTCTCTTAACAACTTTGAATTATGTAGTACAGTCTCATTAACTATAGTCCCCATGCTGTACATTACATCCCAATGGCTTACTTACTTTATAACTGAAAGTTCGTACCTTTTAATTACCTTCACCCTTTTTGTGCACTCTCCCACCCCCTTAACTTAAGCATCTTTTGGCATGTTGGCTTCTCTGAGTATTGGTCAGCTGAACTGAGATGTGGGGGAAACCCAGCATCAGGACAGAGGTAGAGTGAGCCATGCTAGATGTGTTCTTCCAATAGAAATTCAAGTAGATGTAAATCTGAAAAGGAAAACTGAATTGCATATTTTCTTCAAAAGTTCAAGTATACAGCACATGATTATTTTTTTCCCTTGATAACTGTTAAGCATACTCTGTATTTGTTAAGAAATTTTATTCCTTTGGGGCACCTGGGTGGCTCAGTCACTTAACTGACTTCAGCTCAGGTCAGGTTCGTGAGTTCGGGCCCCACATTAGGCTTTCTGCTGTCAGCACAGAGCCTGCTTCAGATCCTCTGTCCCCCTCTGGCTGCCCCTCCCCCACACGCATTCTCTCTCTCTCTCTCTCTCTCTCTCTCTCTCTCTCTCTCAATCATTTTTTTAAAAAAGGAGATTTTATTCCTTTATTTTTACATAGGGGTGAGACAAATTTATATTATTAAATACCTCTTTCAAAAAAACATCTAGGACATAAACTGTGGGGAATAAGCTTAGGAATTCCCTGAGCCTGCACTGATGAGTTAACAAGGCATAAAGAATTACAAAGCCAGAGGATGCTCACACCCAAGTCTGGGTAAACAAGATTAGGTAAGTGGTATAGAGGGGGCGGGGCAAAGGCCCCAGTATAGAACAAAGATCTATGAGATAAACAAGATTAGGTATTCAGGGCTGAAATGCCCCCCAATTTAGTACTATAGCAGAAAGCTGCTTTCACAGGAAGGAAGGACCAAATTAGGTTAATAGGTAAATAGGGCTATAAAGTTGCCCAGAGAGGTGCTAACAAAAGACTCAGAGGTTACATGCTCTGTCTTTCTTGTCCCCTAGACCAGTTTAGGTAAACAGAGGTGGTGCCTCACATCTGCTGTAAACAACCTTCCACTGGGCACCAGGATTTTGTTTTATATTAACCCAAACGCCTAACCCCATATATCTTGAAAACCCCCTTTCCCTCACGTCCATGAGTTAATGTTCACAGTTTCATTGTCCCTTTGTGCACATCCATCACCATGTTTGTAAGCCTTCTGATCCTAATAAAAACGGAGCAAAGACCCTAATGGCTTCCCATTAGCTATCTCTCACATTTTAATCCTGTGTCCCGCTTTCTTGCTCGACAAGAGAGAACTCTAGACCCAGAGTCTACGACAATAAACTTCATACAGAAATACTAATGACTTAAAAACCATTGCCAGGAAAATGGCCTTTAAAGCTAAAAAAAAGAACTGAATATTTTGCCCATATTTCATTTGGAAGTATTCTGTACTTCAGACACAAAGTTGAGCCATTCACTTAATGGCCTTTCTAGTTTCTAGAAATGAGGTAACCAATGTAGAGTTGTTACTCCTGTGATGTGCATATACATTGGAAGATTTTCTTAGGACAAGTTAGGTAAATTTGGTAACATTTCTCACACCAAACAGCAAGACAAACCATTAAAACAAATTAGTAGATGATTTTCTTCATTAAAAAAAGAAAAATCATAGCTAAGGTGTTAGATTACTATAGAGCAGAGGTTGGTGGATGACTCTTGTGAAGGGTCGGCTGGTCCGGCTGGTCGGTGTTTAGGGCTCTGCAGGCCGGGCGGCGGCTGCTGCTGCTGCTGACCTCTGCTGCTGCAGCACTGGAAGCGGCCACGGGCGGGCTGTGAATGAATGAGCGGGGCGGTGTGCCAACACTATTTAGGGACTGAGATTTGAGTTTCATATAATTTTCACATGCCACAGACTATTATTGTCCTTTTGATTTATTTTACTCATTTAAAAATGCGAAAACCATTCTAAGTTTGCAGGACGTACAAAATCAGCTAGCGGGCGCAGGATTTGGCCTTAGTTTGCTGACCTCCAGCTTAGGAGATTTCCGCTTGTTCTCATTTTACTCCGCTGAGTGACCAAGGAGATGGTGGCTGGCTATCAGAATGTAGGTTTGTGGTGTAGAACTTTGTGTACAGCTGCCAGTGTTTAGAATCTATCTTTGTCACTTCTCATGACTGTCTTGCAACAAATAAGTCAGATGGCTGAACTGTTGGTGTCCGTCTTCATTTTAGATACCATGAGAATTTACCACTCTTTCTGCGCTGCTTTACTGTCGGGTGGATTTACACAAGGATTCTGTCCCGTACTGTTGAAATATTGCAGCGACTTCACTTGTATGAGGTTAGAGCACAAGCCCCGACCCCTGGCTTTTACTGCTGTGCCAGCGATGAGCTGTGCGGGGGAGCCTGCTTAGTCTGCACACAGTAATGTCATGAAAGCAGACGTGATGTGGCCAGCCTGCTGTCTTCAGGGTTAATAGGAAGAGGGCCGAGGAGGACCAATCGCTTCATCTGCTTGTGACTGGCTGCGTGTGCACCAGGACGGCCTGGGGATCATCGACGGAGCTGTGCAGGAAGCCTCAGCCTGAGTCTCTGTCACAATTCCATGTGTGACTTGCGAGGTCTCCAGAAATCTCTGAGGTGGAAACCTCCTATCTGCTTGCCCTGATGACCAGCACGGACCACTGGGAAATAATTTAAAATCACAAATCGGAAAATCAGTCATATCCTTCCCTGTACGAAACTGAACGAAATGGCTAGAGTTAACTATTGTTATGTTAACATTTCTGTATGGAAAATGCTATTTTACAAAGAGGATACACAGAACCCAGGGCTCTTGTCACGGGTCCATGAAACCCAAGAGGATCATGGGGTTGGCTGTGGGAAGTTTGTGAACCCCACAAGTGAGTTATCTGGGGGTTTGTGCGTACTTTTCTGAAGGGAATCATTAGATGTTTCCAAGAGATCCATGAACCACAAAAACTGAACAGTGTGTGTATAGATCTAGACCAGAAAGTGTCCCTGTTGAGGTGGGGTGGGGTGTTTGGGGTGTTGGATGAAGACTCTGCTCATTCCTGTCCTGCCCCCCATTCATTCCTCACACCCTTGGCCCTGTGACCTACTGTATTCCCAGAAGCATGCGGCCGTATAGCCCCTGACCAGTGCTCGGCCGCTGGAACTTGACTGTGTGCAGCCCTGCACCAGTTGACTTGGTTTGTAGAGAATATCAAGCAGTGTTGACAGAACTCCGTTTGCTCACTCACCAGTTGGCAGGAGACCTGGGTGAAAAGTGGGGATGCCTCAGGGGCTCGGGCCTGCTTCAGAGGGGACGTCTCAGTCTTCTCATTCCGGGGTCCTTGGCCTTTTAGAGTGGAACACGTGTGTTATAAATATACTTTGCCAGTCTTCTTGGCCACTAACTGTAGTTACTTTCTCGGGTATGTATGAACCTAATGAACTTCCTTTGTTGTTCTTGCAACAGGAAGCAGTCAAGGAACTTGAAAACCTCTTGTCACAGAAAGTGTATTGTCCTGACAGCAGAGGCCGGTGGTGGGATAGATTGGCTCTCAACTTACACCAGCACTTGAAACGCCTTGAACCGGTATTCAGTAACTAGATACACCCTGAGCCTTTTTAAACTTTTGCATAAATTAAAATACATAGCAAACTGTTAATACCTTAGAATTCTAAATGTAATTAGAATATGTATTTTTTTTAACATTTCTTCTTTTGTCTGTGTTCTTCCAACCCCCTTCCCCCAAAACTAACAGGGATGCTAACAGAAGTGTTACAATGAAGACAGGACACTTTCTTGTTGTCTTCACTGATTTGGAACGTGGGTTGGTAGTGGGGCTGTGTGTTGGGATTTAGGAATTCGAGATCTAGGAATTAAGGGAGCAGGAGACTTAGAGGTCCCCGTCCTCATTTTGGAAATGGTGATGTCACTCATTTGTTGCATGGGGCCTCCAGGTAGAAAGTCTGACGAAAGAGGTTTCTTTCCATGGGGAAATGTATTGTCTGACTAATGCAGCAGGCCACCTTCTCTTCTGGGTGCTGGTATTCTCTGTGGCAGGGACCTTGGGAGTCCAGGATCCTAGTTACTGCCAGGGCTGAGCAGGGTGGAGCTTCCACAGGCAGCTTCTGCTGAGCCCAGTGGCGACAGTGGCTCTTTGTGTGGCCGCCTGAGGTTCCTGCCTGGCAGCCCTGCATTTGTGTTGAATGGAGGGGACTGTGCCTTGGGAAGCTTTTGTTTTTTTCCAGCAGCAACTTTAAGTGAATCAGGGTGATGTGGGGGTGGAAAAGTTGACCAAGGGTGTGGAAGTAGGACATACTATTTTTACTGCCTTAAACTGAAAAAGTGCCTTGTTACCTAAAGTGCTTCAAGCCTGTGAAGCCTGTTTTCTTCTTCGGAGGCGGGTGTGCTTCCTTACCTCTTGCTGTTTGCTCAGGCTGAAATAGCAAGAGACTGTATCCGTTAGCCCACAGCCAAAGGCAGAGAAAGGCTGTTTCTGTTGCCTCTTTCTTTCGCTGAAAGGGCTTGGATCTCCCCCCTGTTCACAGCTCTACCAAGAGGAGCATTCACTTAGGTGCACAGAGGGAGACGAGTTGAGCTTATTTTTGAGACCTCTAGAAAATCCTAGTTCCTTTTAGCCCTTTCTCAGAGATCGTACTGGCCACACTCACAGTCTTCATCATTTTGTTACCATCCTGCTCATTTCTTTACCTCAGTCTCCAGCGAAGGAATTCATCAGCAGAGTTCTTATTCTTGCAAAGTGCTCAGCAGCTGGGCTGGGCCGAAGGGGGGGTAGCTGGCCATCCCCTCCCTGTGGTGGAGCCGAGTCAGTGTCTCCTTCACTCTTCTTGATTCCTTTGACTGCTCCACTCCTAATGGCCTGATCTTTCACTAATGTTCAGAGTGGCTGTTTTTGTTGTTGTAGTATTTTTTTTACTTTTTATTTTTTTTAAGCGATAAGACATTTATTCTTTTCTATTTAATTTTTTTAATGTTTAATTATTTTTGAGAGAGAGAAAAAGAGACAGAGCATGAGCAGGGGAGGGGTGGAGAGAGAGGAAGACACAGAATCTGAAGCAGGATCCAGGCTCCGAGCTGTCAGCACAGAGCCCGACATGGGGCTCGAACTCATGGGCCACGAGATCATGACCTGAGCCAAAGTCGGACGGATGCTCAACCGACTGAGCCATCCAGGCACCCCTGTTTTTACTTTTTATTCTTATTGTACTAAATAATATAACACATAAAACTTGCCATTTGAATACTCTTTGGGGTACATTAGTGGCATTAATTGGGGTACATTCAGCTGCATTAATTATAATCATAGTGTTTGTGCAAACATCACCACTATTTCCAAAACTTGTCATCACACCAAATAGAAACTGTGTGGCCATTGAGTAGTGGCTCCTTGTTCCCTCTTCCCCCACAGCCCCCACTGATCTCCAGTCTTCTGTCTGTTTCTATGAATTTGCCTCTTCTAGATATTTCATGGAAGTGAAATAGTACAATATTTGATCTTTCGTGGCTCAGCTTATTTCACTGAGCAGCCTGTCCTCCAGGTTCATCCATGTTGTAGCAGGTGTCAGAATTTCCTTCCTTTTTAAGGCTGACTAATACTGCATTGTACATGGAGACCACATTGTGTTCATTTATTCTTCTGTTGATGGACATTGGGGTTGTTTCCACCTTTTGGTTGTTAAGAATAACACTGCTGTGATTACGGGTGTATAAACATCTGTTCAAAACTCTGCTTTCAGTTCTTTTGGCTAAAACCCAGCAGTGGAATTGCTGGGTCATGTGGTAATTCTGTGTTTAGCTTTTTGAGGAACTGCTTACCGATTTTCAGTATTGAGTCATTTTTACGTTCCTGCCAGCAATGCATGCGGGTTCTAGTTTCTCCCACATCCTTGTCAACACTTACTATTTTCCTTTTTTATGATTTAGTCATCCTGTTAGGTGTGAAGTGGTATCCTGTTGTGGTTTTCAGTATTTTTGTTTATTTGTGCAACTCTGAATAACCTTAGGAAATGCATTTAAGTCCTCCAAACCCAAGATTCTTCTCCCTGTAAATGAGGGGTCTAGACCAGCTCTGTGGTTCCTGAGTGCACATGAAACTTAACTGGCAGCTCTGAAGTGGTCAGATGCCTGTCCCCCACTCCCACTCCTGCTCAGAGATGCCCATTTATGCAGATCAGAGGTGGAAAACACATGTATGTTTTCAGAGCTCCCCGGGTGGTGCTCTGAGAACCACTGAGTCAAGTCTTTCTGTCAGTCTTCTCCAGCCCGTTACCCACGGGCATCTCTAACTTTCTCAGTCTCCCTGAGGGTGTGGTAGCTGAGATTTGCCCTGTCTGCAGGTATAACTGGGAAATAGTGTCAGACATTTATAGTCAGGGATTATGATTCATCTGTGCATTAAAAGCAGCATGAGATCTAAGGAAATAATAACCTTTTTCTCTGGAACTATTGCTTTGGCCACTTGCTAATTAGCAAAATTGAATAATTAATTAACAATGGGGTTTCCTGTCACGTTGAATTAGCAGATGCTGCCATGAGGTCTTTCAGGATCCTAATGTGGGACCATGTTCTTTGTTAGGCTATTAAGTGCATCGCAGAAGGGCTGGCAGATCCAGAAGTAAGAACAGGACATCGTCTTTCACTGTATCAGAGAGCCGTGCGCCTGAGAGAGTCTCCGAGCTGTCAGAAGTACAGGCACCTCTTCCATCGGCTACCAGAAATAACTGTGGAAGATGTTAAACATGTAAGTAAATATCCTTTGGGTGCTTTGGACTTAAAAGCATGTACTGGGTTTTTTCCTGAATGGAAACAGCCTAAGGACTGGTTTCAATGTGCATTTTCTTTTAGACTTAGAAAATTCTAATGCTCGTTTTAGACAGTGACTCCTTGTTTTCATACCCGTGCCTCCTACGTTGGAAGGCTCAGCCCAGCCTGGTGGGTTGGTTTGCTCATGCCTGGGGTTGAGTGACTTTCTGTAAAACCCCTGAATCAGAAGCTCACAGCCTTTGCCAGTGTCTCCTGCTTGGTCAGGGTGCCTGGAGAGTAGCTTTGGGGTCCATGACTTCCCCGAGGCTGGGGCGGTGACCTGTCTACACCCTCACAGGCACCAGAGTGTGGGCCACATGGCCTCACACTCTGCTGAGAATCCGTGGCTTGAGGGGAGTATAGGAAGGTGCGTCCTTAGGACACGGAAGTCAGGTTTGTGGGGACTGGAGCTCAAGTGAGGCTAATGGGTGTTCTCCTGCTGCTGTCTCAGGTGACCATCACGGGCCGGCTGTGCCCGCAGCGTGGGATGGGCAAGTCTGTGTTCGTGATGGAGGCTGGGGGGCCCACCGCCCCTGCCACAGTCCTGTGCTCTGTGGAGGAGGTGGCTTTGGCCTATTATAGACGCAGCGGCTTCGACCAGGGTAATGCACGGCCCTTCTCCCGGCCTGCCCTGTTGCTGGGTGATGGTTTGTCAGCAGTGGGTGGCTACCGTCTCTCTGTCCTGTCCCCGGTGGAAGATGCTGCTGACCAGGGAGGATGTGGAAAAGAATTTTACTAACTATAGTTGTTAAAAGCCATCTTCCACATAACCAGCATCCACCACCCAAGGCCTGTGACGAATAGCGCTTTCTGGTAGGACGTTAGAAGCAAGTGGGGCCCGTTTTGCTCTCAGAGAGCTTGTGTTGGGCAGCAGAGGATAAGAAAGGGCAGAGGACTACCAGGAGTGCTGCGTGGTAACAGAGCCCTTTAGAGGATGTAGGAGCTGTGGAGCTGGGCCAGGAAAGAGCGAGCTTCTGGAAAGAGTGAGCAGGCCTCATAATCAGCTAATGACTTTAAGGGGATTGAAGGACCAAGTCCTGGAATGGCATAGCACCCGGGAAACCAGAGAAGTTGCTGAAAGAGCAGTGCTTTGAATTTCTTGTAGAATGAGCTCTCTTGATCACATGAGGAAGGAGAATAAAAGTCTGTAAGTCAGAGTACGATACACACACACAGGCTCCTGAGGTCTGGCTTCTCCTCCATAGAAGGGCACCTGTACCTGCTGACAGCTCATCACCGTGCTATGTGTGACCAAATGGGGCTCAAGAGGAAATGCACAGTGAAAGTGGGAAGTCCCTGTTTGGGAGTTGGGACTGGTCCGAGCAAGAAAAGATGGAGTAAATCACAGAGGTGAGCCTCCAGTATCTTGGTGGCACAGTTTGTCACGGGGCCTTTGTGCCCAGTCAGGAGCCATCTTTGACTGGAGGTGTTAGCACGCTTCTTGGGTACTTCCTACGCACAGAACAGTGGAGAGTGAGCCCCTCCCTTTCTGGGAGGGTCCATTAGCCTTTGGGGTGCCCCCCCGGTCTGTGTCCAACGTGCCATGGGGCGACCCTGCACTTGTTAGTGGGAGCTGCTCTGGGTGTCTCTGGTCACCCTGTGGTGAGCCTTGTTACATAGCAGCAGCCAAGTGTTTTGTTTTGTTTTTAACTAATTTACTTATCTCTTGTGTTTTCTGGAATTGCTTGTGTTTGTGTATTTATCCACATCAGCCCGTCTTCCCTCTTATTCTCTTTTTTGATTCTGGTCTCAGAAAATTAGTGCTTTATCTGAGGCCTGTGTAAGAGGAGACACTGAGAATTTGCCTTCTGATTGGTACAGTGCGCTTGTCACTCTGTCCTTAGTGAAAGGTAGTAGTGACTAGAATACGTCAAGTCAAACTGTGAGACAGGATTGCAGAGAAAGCATCCATCTGCCCCACCAGAGACAAGGGGGCGGCAGCACAGCTCTCCTGGAGAGGCCTGCTCCCGTCTTGTTTTCTTTTTTAAACTTTTTATTATGGAAGATGTTGAACATGCCTTTGTACAAAAGTAGAGTGGTGCAGTGAGCCCCAGGTACTGCCAGCTTCATCCAGTCTTCTGTCCATGCCCCTGCCCTCGGATGGTGGAGGCTGACCCCAGACACTCCCGGGGTACCCACCAAGCCCTTCCTCTGTCCAGACAGGACCCCCCTGTGCCCATGCATGAGGCTTAAAAATACTCTGATACCTTCAAATACGGGAAAATCGGGACATTATTTCTCTTGGGTATTATGTAAGCATTTACATAATAAGGATGAGGATTCATGGATTAATGAGGATCATGAAGCGACACTGAGTGTTGGAAGTTAAGAATATCTGTGTGGCATCTTTATTGCTTACAGGGAAGAGAGACGCTATAGAGAAGAAGTGTGAACCCCAGTGAAGACAGAGATAAACAGACCTGAAAGGTTAGAAATGAAAGAATAGAATGAGCAGCCATCCCCAGATGAACTGTAGGAGATGCATGAACTGGGCAGTTGGGGGAGGAGGGCATGGATATCAGGGCCTGTGGTGGGTGGGCTGTGAGCCAGACCCAGTGAAATGCTTTCCGTTTAGCCACGAGCCTGAAAAATGGACGGATGATTCCAATTCCAGAATATAAAATATTTTCTTCATTTATTAAAATTGATGCAGTGAAAATGAGCAAACCCTTGCTGTCAGTCTGTTCGAGAGAAGATTAGAGGGTAAGGGCAATGTCAGGCTCTCTTCAGGGAAATTTATTTCTGACTTAACTCAGAAGGAGCTCACCAAAAATGATTTCACTTACAATACAAATGCATGGTGTAGACGGCTTAGGAGTTCAGGGATCCTGACCTCCAGCATTCCTGCCTGGCCGGCGGATAGTGCATACTCCCAGACAGAAAGCAGGCTGGAAATCAAGTTTCACACAGTTTCACTCTCGGCCGGGCAGGAGCCCAGGATCCCAGCGCGCAGCTTGCTGAAGAAAAGGGCTCAGCTCCAGCCCGGAGGCCTGAGACACTTCATGTTGTTCCTGTGGCTGTCCTTTCGCGTCTCCGAGACAGGCTGCATGGCCGAGGGGCTAGAACTGAGAGGGACAGAAGGCACAGCGCAGCCTCAGCAAGGCAGGACAGAGGGGGTCCGGCCATGCCACTTCCGGCAGAAGTTCTGGTCTTTGCACTTCCACACAGGACACACGTGCAGGCACGGCCTGGTCTCTGCTCTCTGTGTCTTGTGCTGCACCGTGACCTGGCACATGACAGAGCAGGGCCTGCCAGCCAGAAGTGCCCTTCTGCCTGCATATTGGGACAGGGTTGGTTGGGGGTGGGGGCGGGCAGCACCCCCTTTTGGTCAAGGCTGTAATGTGGGGGGAGAGAGGGGCCCACCCAGCCACTGTCCCTGGTCAGGTGTGGCAAAGTGCAGAGGACTCGCCCTGGGAGACAGGTCTGCGTGCTGTGCCAAGGCTGAGCCCCTGGTCCCCCTGACTTTGCTATGACACGTACATGGCCTAGGCACATGGTAGATCGTCTGAGGTCGTCACCCAATCAGTATAGTTTGTATGTAGTGTGAGGAAGGGGTCTGAGCTAGGTGGTCTCTGAGGTAGAAAGTTTCCGTAAGAGCTCTGAGTCTCAGAAACACTGGGCATGCTTGTCCAGGCCAGAGCAGTGGAACGGTAGGTCCAGTGAGGTGAATGGAGACGGCACCTGCTAGGTCAGAGGGCACGGACTCCTGGGTCCTCGTCTTTCTCCGATCTCTTTTGGGGGGCCTTTCTGCAAGTGTGGCCAAGGGTCCCTACACCAGAGCCCTCTGTGGGGTTCTCGGCCCACCCACACTTACTGTATTGAATCCCTGCAGCCTGCAACGGAAATTTGTTTTTATTTAGCTTTAAGAACTTTCCCTGGGTTTCTCATTAAAGTTTGAGAACTGCCAGCTACTTTATGGCTCTGAAATGTGTATTTGAATTTTTCCATAATTTCTCAGATTTTTGCTCTCCTATGAGCCTTCTGTAGAAAAGCAATGTGATGTAAACAAATGAGCTAGGAATGGCAAGAAAACAGCATTTGATTTTGAACCTAAAATCTATTATTTCCTTCACATTGAGTAAGCAGTAGGTTAAGGTGGTAGTTTTTAAAAAACAGGAAAAACTGACCTTCCTCTGTGTGTGTATGACTTTGTCTTAGGGATTCATGGGGAAGGGTCCACCTTTAGCACGTTGTATGGCCTCCTCCTGTGGGATGTAATCTTCATGGACGGGATACCAGACGTCTTCAGAAATGCCTACCAGGTACTCAGGTTAGGCAGCGCCAGGCGCATGTGCTTTGTAGGCTAGCAGACGATACTGCCCCTTGTGGTTCCTGCCCACCCGTGTGCCATGTGCCTGCTGCCATCAGAAATCTGTCAAGTACCATCTTCTGGATGGTGCTGATTCTCTGTAAGAGTTTTTATTTTAAAGTCAGGCTCCTAGAATTTAAAATGTTAAGTCTGTTAAGTTTTAAACTTTAACCTGCTTTATTTACCTTCTTCATTCCCCTTGAGACCATTCCTGTGTTTCTTCGGCTTCGGCCCTCACTGGGCTCCTGTCCGGGCCTGCACCATCACGTGCTCCATTACACGCACCTGCTAAGAGTGCCACCAACGTCAACTAAAAGCTCTTTTCACAGATTGTTGCGCTAGCAAACCAGTACAATAAGTTGCTTTGATGTTAGATTACTTAGATTGTTTTTTGCCTATCTTTTAAAAAAAAGAATGTGTCCATTTAATCATATTGGCCAGCTTCCAAATTTTACAGGTACTGAATGTTCTGATGAATCAGGGTCTCTCCAGGCACAGTATGAGAGCTTCTTTTCCCTGCGACATAGGCATGCCCACTGGACTTGTGTACAGACAGCTTCTTCACGAGCAGGGGGCCGGCCATCGAGGCCAGGCTTCAGCTGATTCACAGCGCCCCCGCGGAGAGCCTGCGGGCCTGGGTGGCAGCCGCGTGGCAGGCCCAGGAAGGCCGAGTGGCTTCCATTGTCAGCTGGGATCGCTTTGCTTCTCTTCAGCAAGCTCAGGTGAGAATCTGCAGCCGGATTTGGTCAGAAATCCTGTATATACATGTACCTGTGTGTATACATGTGTGTACACATGTATATGCATACGTGTGCGCGTGTATGTATGTTTATATGCACGTGTGTGTGTGTGTATGTGACTGTGCCCGTGCATACATTTATGTATATGATAATACCCTAGTCCAGATGCCACTGTTCTTGATGGGAATGTGGCAGGGCACAAAATAAGCCCCGTTATGCCTTCTTCCCCTTAGTTGACAGCCTCCTGTGACCCTCAGCAGGGAGGGCACCGTTCCTGTCCCTGCAACTGCTGGCCTTTGCAAGCCATCACTTCCTATTCCTGAGTATTTACACCGCATTCCCTCTTCCTCACCTGTTCCCCAGGGTTTTCCCGGCTGGACAGAAATGTAACTGACTCCCCAGACTGTGCCAGTGGGCATTTTAGCCAGTGGCTCTGGAGCCCTGGCACAAGCAGAACACCACCTGAAGGCCTTGGAATTCACTTGTGTCGAATTACAGTTTTCTCCTATCCTGTGATCAGTGAAAGTATTTCAGGATCCCTGTCACAGGGAACGGCTAACCGTCCACATATTTTGTGTGCAGGATCTTGTTTCCTGCTTGGGCGGCCCTGTCCTCAGTGGTGTGTGCAGGCGGCTGGCTGTGGACTTCCGGCACTGCCGAGGGGGCCTCCCCGACCTGGTGGTGTGGGACTCCCAGAGTCATCGCTTTAAGGTCAGTTGGGCCAGAATGGAAAGTCCTATTTCTGTGATAATTTTATTAGCAACTTAAAGAGAGGCTACAATGTAGGCATTCCTTGCATGGTTGTTGGCAAGATTGAATCCCTCAAAAGCTGTTGGACTGAGGGCCATGGTACCTCAGTGGCGGTCAGCCAGGGCCTCATCAGCCCCTTGTGTGTGGGCCTCCCCTGTCCACCATGCAGTGCTCACCTTGGCAGCTCTCGTCATCAGAGCAGGCGAGCGGGAAGAGCCAGTGTGGGCAAGATGGAAGTCTGTCTCTTGTAACCTGATCGTGCAAGGAACAATCCCTCCCTTGTGCTGTATTCTTCCTTAAGAAGCAAGTCCCAGGGTCCAGCCCATGCTCAAAGGGAGGGGGTTCCACAGGGTGTGAACTCCATGAGGCTGAGATGACTGGGAACTGTCTTCTAAGTGAGCTTAGGGCGAGTGCCTCATCACGTGTTGTAGGCTCATTTCCCCCCCGCCCCCCCTTGCCTCACTTTGGTCTTATTCTGCTGCCTATCCCAGGTTGTTTTTCTTATTATTGAGTTTTGAGATTTAAAATTCTGGAATCAAGTCCTTTATCAGCTATAGTTCATCCCAGTCTGTGCCTTGTCTTTTCATTCTTGTAATAGTGTCATTTGAAGAGCAGAAACTTTACATTTTGGCCAAGTCCCACTTGTCTGTTCTTTAATGGATTGTGCTTTTGGGGTCCTAGGACATCTCTGACTGGAACTGAGGATTTGTGTGTCTCTCCTTGCAGTTCTGTCCAGTTTGCTTCACATATCCTCAAGCTCTGTGATCAGATGTACAAACTTGAAGGACTCTCATGTCCTCTAGGTAAACTGATCCCTTCATCATTGTGAAATGACCCTCCTCTATTCCTGGTCACGTTTTTCACTCAGAAATTGACTATTAATATACAGCCACTCCAGCCTTCTTTGGATTAGTATTAACGTATCTTTTTCTAGTCTTTCATTTTTAACTTATTTTGTCTTTGTAGTTAATAAATTTCTTATAGGCGGATTTCCTTTGCCTTTTAATTGGGTGTTTGGACCATTTACATTTGATGTGATTATTGACATTTGGCTTTAAAGCTGCCATTTTGATATTTGTTTTTTTGTCTCAGCTCTCTTGTTCTCCTTTCCTCTCCTTTTTCTACCTCCCCCCCTTTTTTTTTACAGATTGCGTTTTAACCCTTTATTGGCTTGTTAACTGTAACTTTGTTGTACATATAAGTCGTTGCTCCAGTGTTAACAGTGTACATCTTAAACTTATTATCTACTTTCAAGTGATCTTATCATCCCATATATAGTATAGAGAAACTCACAAGAGTATATTTTTGTATCTCCTCTCCCAGCCTTTGTGATGTTCATACATTATATTTCTACATGTTATAAAGTCTGCATTTTTTTTGCTTTCTACAGTTGATTGTTAAGAACCTTTAGGGGTGCCTGGGTGGCTCAGTCAGTTAAGCGTCTGACTTTGGCTTAGGTCATGATTTTGCGGTTCATGGGTTCAAGCCCTGCATCAGGCTCTGGGCTGATAGCTCAGGGCCTGGAGTCTGCTTCGGATTCTGTGTCTCCCATTCTCTCTGTCCCTCCCTCACTTCCGCTCTGTCTCTCTCTCAAAAATAAACATTAAAAAAAAAAAAAAAAAGAATCTTTATATTTATTCACATAGATACAATTTCTTAATGCTTGTTATTCCCTTTATAGAGATCCAGACTTCCATGTGCTATCATCCCACCTCACCTCTGCTTAAAGAACTTTAACCCTTCTTGAACTGGAGGTCAGCTGGTAATGGATGTTTTAGGTTTTATATGTCTTAAGTCTTTATTTCATCTTTGTTTTTGAAAGACATTTTTTCTGAGGCAAGAATTCTATGTTAATAGTTTTTTTTTTTTTTCTTCCAGTACTTTAAAATATTGGTCCACTCCACTGTCCTATATAATGATCAATCTGTAATCCTTTCCTTTAGGCTTCAAAAAATTCTAGCTGCTTTTAAAATATTCCCTTTATCACTGATTATGCAACTTAATTATGTTTCTGTATGTAGTATTCTTAATGTTTCTTTACTTGGGGCTCATTGAGCTGCTTGGAATTTTGAGTTTATTATTTCCATCAAATTTGAAAAATCTGGATAGTTTTTATCGCTGTTTTGAAGTTGAGTGAATAAAACTGACACAGTTCCTGGCTTCATGGAGTGGATATATAATGAACAGTTTTATCTTCTGATAAATGCCATGAAAGAAGTGCATAGGAAGGACCCTGCATAGAGATGTACTGACCTCTTTGAGATGAATTAGGCTGAGCATTGAAGGGTAACATGTCAGACATGTGAAAAACCAGAAGAAATGTCCTAGGCAGCAGAACAGCAAGCGTATGGAAGGGCCCTTCAGTTGGTAAGAGGCTGGTCTTTTCTTGGAAACTGAAGTGCCCTTGGAGTGGTTGGCGGGGGCCAGCTCATACGGTTTTGTGGGTCATGGCAAAAGTGGACTTAATTGCAGACATAACAAGAAGTAATTGAAGGGTTTTAAGCAGGGGAGCAACAGTCTAGTACATGCTTTAAAAATTGTTTTTGGGGGCGCCTGGGTGGCTCAGTGGGTTAAGCATACAACTTTGGCTCAGGTCATGAGCTCATGTTTCAGGAGTTTGGGCCCCATGTCGGGCTTTGTGCTGACAGCTGAGAGCCTGGAGTCTGCTTCAGACCATGTCTCCCTCTCTCTCTGCCCTTCCCCCGCTCATGTTCTCTCTCTCTCTCTGTGTGTCTCAAAAATAAACATTAAAAATTTTCAACTATGTATTCAGAATGAACTTACTAATTCTCTATTGGGAACTGCCTACTTTGTACTGAATAATTCTCAATGAAATTCACATATGTATATTTGTTTTATATATGTAAGTACAGTAATATAGTAGAAGCCATTGAAGTAGTTGTTAGTGAAAACTATTATAGCTTACTTGGCTCTTCCGTTTCAGTAAGATACTAATAATTTTTTTAAATCTTATCTTCCAGCTGGTGGAAGTTAAAGGCCCCAACGATCGTCTTTCACATAAGCAAATGGTCTGGTTGCACGAACTGCAGAAGTTGGGGGCCGAAGTAGAAGTCTGCTACGTGGTTGCAGTTGGAGCTAAGAGCAAAGGCCTGAACTAAGAGCTATGGAATTGGGAATATCTGGTTATACCTGGATTGAAGATTTTCAAAAGCGTAAAGCATTCTTACATTTTATTTAACTTTGATTTTGTCAATAATAAACCTGAGAGTTTAAGACTGATCATTGTACAGTATCTGTGTATTTGGTCTTGGCCTGGATGTACTCACTGATTACACATAGCAGGTAATGAACTTTCTAAAAGGTCAGAACCAGCATGCCTGGTGGCTCAGTTGATTGAGCGTCCGACTCTTGATTCCATTTCAGGTCATGATCCCAGGGTCGTGAGATTTTAGCCTTCCCTCAGGCTCCACAGGGCTGTCTCTTTCTCTCACTCCTTCTACCCCTCCCCTCTCAAAATAAAAAATGATAAAAAAATCAATAAAAAATAAAATAAAAAAATAGGAAAAATACAGAACCTTCGTGGTGGCCATTTCAGGAAATAGATGCATTTATGTTATTACACTAGACTTGCAAAAATGCTGGAAAAGATTCAAACAGTGGGGATGTTTCACAGCTTTTGGTCTTTTATAAAAGTAGCCTATAGTGTTCCTAATTAAGTATGTGGGTGAACTGAATTTAAGGTTTCCTATAATGCCCAGATACACTCAGCTATTTAACATTCTTGTTTTAGGATTATCTAAAAAGGGTACAAACAATTGAAATTCTGATTTCTCTGGGAATTAAAAAAAAAAATTCTCATTAAATTCCTTAACTTAAAACATCTGTCAAGGCCTACTCTTACTAATTGGGCCTAGATCACCAACGGTATTAACAGTCTATCAAAGACAGTTGTCCTTTTTCATCTTTCTCCTTGGAAACATCCCTAATGACTAGGTGAGGGGCAATTTTCTATATACAGTATCATTGGAACAGGGCTGTTTATCACTGTTGGGAGAGCCTTAGGCGGAGGAAAGTGTGTGGTAGGAAGGCAGCTTACCAGAACAGTAAGACCAGGAGTCAGGGACGGAGATCCCAGTCTCCCCACAGACTAATTTTGAGATCTTCTCAGGGAAATGTTACCTCCTCGAGTTTGGCAATTTTTTAAAACTTTATTTTGAGAGAGAGGCAGCGCAAGCAGGGGAGGGGCAGGGAGAGAGGGAGAGAGAATCTCAAGCAGGCTCCCCACGGTCAGCACAGAGCTTGACACAGGGCTGTAACTCATGAACGTGAGATCATGACCTGAGCCAATATTAAGAGACACTTAGCTGAGCCACCCAGATGCCCTGAGCTTGGTAATTTATTGAGCGGAAGGACAAGTTAGGGCATAGTCCATTAATACCCAGATGGCCTTAACCACAGCCGTTCTAATCAATGCTGAAAATGTTAACTGATCACAACCTTGCTTGAGAGCAAAGAGGTTGGATGACACCCCCACAAGTGTGGCTGGAAGAAAATGCCTTCGCTTCTTCAATCACTATGTTCTTGTAGATTTCACATCGATAACTACAACAAGCAATTTCTGTGGAAATTTTATTTAGCAGTCAAAATTTCCTTCACATTCATCACTGTTGAACAAGAGCTCTCATCTTCCTGCTCATCCTACTTTAACTCAGGTTGTAATTTTAGGCACAAAGGTTTTAGTTTTCTCTCAAAATCAAGTTCTACTTGAGGTTACTGCTATAGCAAGCAGATTTTGTTGAAATAGGTATGTTGACTAGTTTTCATCCTCTGTTAGCACACATTAATATACTTTTCTTAAATAAAGTTAAGACATTTTTGGTTTTAAAACTGGTTTCCATCATAAAATAACAGTAAGACATTGTACATCTTTAAGTTCAGTACTAGAAAGTCCCAAGCTGTCTGGAGCCCGTGCGGTGCTCCATCGGCACAGACTTCGCTTGCGGGGCTGTGGGGCTGGAGAGTGTGAAGCGCTCTTTGGTGCAGCGTCTGTAACCACACGGAGGACTTCGGTCACCACCACATCCTTTTTGCTAGCAGAGGTGCCAGGCAGCTTTAGAATGGCCAGGACTTAAAGCTGTTATAGTTGTTTTTCATATTATGCATAAGTTGTGGCACAATAATCATGATAGAACAACCATCCAGCAAAAATAAAACTAAAAACCATATTTTACTACATTTGATTATCATACAAAAATATGCACATTTTCTATTTTAAGACAGTATGTTAATAGTACCTAATCTTTTTTAAACTTGTAAATTAAAAAAAAAATCACTAAAGGAGTCGAAATAAATGTGTGAGGGAAGAGAATTAGAAATAAATGCTCAACAACCACTCCCAGACCCCACCCTCCCGCCAATTTAGAATTATTTGTAATAATAAAAAGGCAGTTTAATCAAAAAGGGAGAATTATCACACTTTCAATGGCAGGATATGCTGTGGGACTTTAAGGGGATTGAGACTGGTTTCCAATCAAGAGGTATAAAATGTTTAATGGCAATAGTGCTATTTATTTATATAAGGTGAAAAAAGCCCTTATTTTCTAGGCAACAAGCTGAAAAAACTGGGTTGATCCAGAAGACAAATTTTCTAAGACACTGTGTAAGAACTTCTGTCCCTTTAGGTCCAGAGACATCAACTTTAAAAAGGAAAATAATTCAGACATTTTGAAACAGCTATTCATTACACATAAAGGTAAAACACGCTTTGAAAAAACTTGTTTTAGAAGCTAGCCACTTCACTATAAAACTTTTCTAAAGCTTAAGATGGCAGTTTAAGAAAGTAACAGCCCAATTTGAAACATCCATCCTGTAAACAGGGAGCAGGGTGGGCAGAGGAGTGGGGGGGGTGGGGAGGAGGGGGATGGTGCTGACCGCCAGTCCCCCTAACAAGCTTCAGCTCAGACCCCACAGCTTTGGCTGGGTTCCTGCCACAGTCTGACGCAGAACACACCTTTGCGTGCTTCTCCGCTGTCAGAGGTTGGGGGTGGGGGGAGGGGGGGGGTCTTCCCTCAATATTAAAATGGCAGTATTTTGAGAGAAGTACACTTTATTTCTCCTGTTGGCTAAACCTAACCACTAAGAACTGTGTGGGCGGGAGGAGGGACCTCTGTGCAGGTGACCTGACTCATTAGTTATTTCCAAGGTAAAGTGCCAACAACAGTTTACCAGACTGGAAATACGGGCAGCAAACGCCCAAATCCCTCTCAACAGCCCTCTGTTTTGGAGGGTGGGCTTCGGTGCCGACAGCACTGGCTCCTGCCGCTGTCACACCCACACCGACCACCCCACAGGCCCGCTGTGTCCTCGCTGACTTTCAGACGGAAGGAAATGTGGTTTGGGGGACTCCTGGCTATTGGTATGAAGCTCAGCGGTGACAAGCCCATTTCCAATACGTAGGTTAACACCCTGATTTTGAAAACAAAACTGTGTTTTACTTTGTGTTATGCATACCTCAATGTCAAAGGCACTTCTAAGTTTATATTATCTACAGCAAATGCTTTTAAAGTCAGCAGTCCATGTCATTTTAAAGTTAGTCCTGGGAAGTTAACAGCAAACTCATGATTTTAAAACACAGTGATCTACGGTCCCAAACAAGGTGATCTAAAATAAATAATAGCCTTGGAACACTGAACCCTCAGGTGAGTTCAATTAGAATAGAAAGTGACCAGAAAAATACATTAATACCTATTAGAGCTGACCGGATGCTCTTGAAAATAGACTAAATGTTAATTTCTTAACTTTCCTGACCTCTGTTTCTTTGGGGTGCCAGGCTGAGGATCAGGCAACCTTTAGTGGTTGGTGGGAGAAAGTGGATGCAGACAAAATAAACGTCACAGACAAAACCTGATTTGTTTGCTCACAGTAGTAAAAATAGGAGAATGTCTGCCTACAGATCACCGGAAACTGGGCCAGACTGAAAATGACAGAGGACATAAAAAAGAAAAGGTCTTTTAAAAAAGAATTGTGAGGAAGTGTTAACTCGACTTGTTTTTAAATATTAGTGCAAATTTCAACTATTATTCCGACACGTAAAATTTTTAGAGCCTCTGATGCCTAGGTTAGCAATTCTGATTCAGAGGAAGCCGGTTTATGGCTCCCCTCAAAACGTTCAGAAAACGGGCGTGTTAGTCTTCGTTTGCTAGCGTCTCGGTAGATAACCAGATTTTGGCCCCACTCAAGAACTTGCTCAGCGGCGTTCCCGAAATGCTCCGCCGGCAAAGGTTGCCCACGGGAGAGAAGGGGAAGGACGAAGACAGGAACTCCGGCGTCCCCGCCGCCTGTGGGCCGCCCACCCGGAAGTACATCCGGCTCTGGTCAGGCTCCGGGCAGCGGGCCTCCGCAGGGCCGGCCCGGTGCTGCCGCAGCGTCCTGCGGAGCACGTCCACCTCGTCGGCCAGCAAGGACAGCCTGTGGAAGGCGGTGATGAAGCCCCCGAGGCTGATCTGGGCTTCGGGGACCCAGCGGAAGTAGCACAGCTTCCAGAGTTTGACGTGCGTCCCGGAGACGTGCGGCAGAAGGGCGCCATGCAGGTCCACCGGCCGGGAGAACCACTCTCGGAGATACTGCTCCGCGCCGCGGGCCTGGCCGCCGGGCTGCGGAAGCGGCTCCGGCTTTCCTTTCAGGATCAGGGAGTTTCGCCTCGGGACCAGGTCCTGGTCGGTGACGATCCCGTTCTTCAAGGAAGCTGGCATTCCCCTCAGTGTGGAGCTGTAGCCTTTCTGGAAGGAGAGCGACCTCAACATTACCTCCCTGGAGCCTCCCCCTTTGCATAGACAGGAAAGGCCCAGTGGCAAATATTCACTGGGTGTGGGGACAAAATGGGGGAATGGCGGTCATAACATTCTGTCCCTTCCCTTGCAACCCTCCTCCTGATCCTCTTCCACCTGAGTCCCATTAGCTAGCAATGGGCTCTGCCTAGGACATTAGCGCTGGCCTGCGACCTGGCGGGGAGGGGATACCTCCTGTTCATCATTCTGCTAAAGCGCAAATTTCTAAGACCTCTGGGTTAGGGAGAAATCTAGGATCTGGCTGATTCTAGAAAGAAAGGCAAGTGGATGGGCTTCAGGAATGGGGCCTCTCAGGCTCAGAGCTGCTATCCGCTGAATCCTACATGCTGAGCAAGCTCTGTGGGCCTCAGTCACCAAGAAGAAAAGTCAGGGCATGGTCATTTCAGTTACAAAGCAAATGATTCCTCAAAATCTGCATTGGCAGTGTCAAGGGAAGTGACCTGGATCTTAATACTCTGTGTTCTGAAAATATGACCTCTGTTAGGTGTAAGCAAACACTGTGTTTTTATTGTTGGTGCGTTTTTGTAATTTACCTTTGTCCGTTTGAAAGCCTTCACAGAACCGTTCTGTACACAGGGTGTGCTCTTTCCGATGTACAAGGGGTTATGGAATAGGGTACGATCCTTTGCTGTAAACTGAAGAGACCAGTCCCAAACTGAGGGGAATTTTAAACCCTTTTCGTCACCCAGCTGGATATTTTTGCTTATAGCAAATTCCTGCAAGATAAGTATTTGAACATTTATGAGAAGATGCCAAATGATTTTCTCATATATTTTTTTTGATGAGCCAAAATCATTCCCTCACTATGGGGAATTTTCTGGACTAGAGCAACTCTAGCTCCCCGGGAGCAGCATGTTGCTCTGAGAGAAGAGACATTCTTGGCACCTTGGATCAGAGGGACACCTCACACCCTATATGAGCAAGGAGAGCACCTTTTCTTCTGGAAGCCATCAAGGAAGCTGAACCCTCTGAGCAAGGAATATATTATTACAACAAGTAAAATTTCAGGAAAGCCATACTATAAAGTCTTCAAGGTGTCCCAGTTACTTTTGTAATTGTAGCACTTTACTTTCTGAGTACGTGATACATTTACGCAACTACCGGCTGGGCACAGAACTTGCTGAGTGGAGGTGTAAGACAGTCTGTGCATGGTGATCCCTGCCATCTATTTTATCCCATTTTCTAAGTCCACGCTCACACGTCACTTATCCAGTGACCTTCAGTATCTGAACCACACCCCAGGAGCAGGGAGGAGGGAATCCAGACCCTGTGCACACAGTCCCGGCATCTGGCCGTGACCACGAAGACCACGCACTGAGGCCGGGCCTCTTGCTCCCAGGAGCCTGCCTCCAGCCCACTGTAGGGTCACGCGGTCTACTGATGCAGGGCACAATGCTGCAGGGAGACAGCCCACTGCCTCTGTGTGGAGAAGGTGAGGAGCATCAAACCATGCAGCTGCACTTAGTGGCATGGAGAAAGGGGCCGTCATCCTGGCTGAGGGCCAAAGCAGGCTGGCACATCGGTTTATGTAGGTTAGCTCTCTGGAGGAAATTTCTCAAGATACCAAGTCCCTGGATGGTGGGAGAGGACTGATTCTTATTTTCTGCTCCGTACTTTTCAGTATTCTCCAAACAACCAAGAACTTGTTTGGAAATTAGGAAAAAGGCAAAAACTCATTGTTATTACTAAAGAAGCACTGTGGTCAGGACACGAGCTCCACACCACAGGTATGACCAGGTGTGACCCATGTTGTAGTGTTGACTCAGGGCCAGCAGGAAACAGATAAGCTATCTAACAGTATAGGGCATTTTACAAAATGTCCTATTGCAAACGAGTAAAACTTAACTCATTAAGCACCAAATATATTAAAAAAAAACCTTTTTAGTTACTTGAAATTTCAAAATATATATGCATGTAGAAACAACCCATTTCCTTTAAAAAGACAGTATTAAGAGCTGTTTTAATGGCCCTTCTAGAAAAATAAACAGAAAACAGTCATCTTTTTTTATGTGAAAACTAAAAATGTTTATCTCCAAAGATAAGATTTTCCACAAAGAGTACCTGACCATGAGCATCTAAGGTGGCCTCAGAAAAGAAGGAAACGTCTTTATGGAAGAGACTAAGCTGAGAACAGCGGTTGTGCTAATCAGGACCTTACATCAAAAGCCATTTTCCCAGGGAGGGCAGAGGTGGCACTGACGGCCTTCAATCTGGCTGTTACATCAAATCGTCAGTATGAAGTGCTGAGACAAGGAGGGTTCCATGCTAGTACTCGCCAGGAAAAGCTTTTGAAAAAGGCCAGGCTAAAAAAACAATACAGTATTAGAGCATGGACCAGGGAAAGTAGATGATCTACTTTTTTTTAAGTTTATTTATTTTGAGAGAGCAAGAAAGACAGTGTAGATGGGAGGGGCAAGGTGCAGAGAGGGAGAAAAAGAACCACAAGCAGGCTCCTCGATGATGCGGGGCTTGAACTCATGAACCATGAGATCATGACCTGAGCCAAATCAAGAGTCAGCTGCTTAACTGACTGAGCCACCCAGGCACCCTCAGATGATATACTTTTAAAAAATATTTATTTCCACATCAAAAGCTATTTGTAAACTTATCTGGGCACATCCAGAATCCAGCCTAGTAGCAGGGTGAGGAGTGAGTGTCTCTGGGGTCCAACCTGAGCTCTGCAGAGTCCTCTGCTCAGTGCCTGCTGGAGGCACTGCAGTCACTGGGACCTTAGGGCCGATGTACTGGCATTTTACATCGAATGTTCTACGTCTAACAAGGCTGATTTCCTAGCTTTGTGTACATTTTGAAGGCCCACAAGGTGTGTGTGTGCATGCATGCATGTACTAGGGGCGTGCATGGGCGTGTACACGGGGCAGTGAAGGGAGAGGAGTATGATGGGCAGGCAACACCACCAGATGCACAGCCCACAGCGAAGCTCAAGGGGCACAAACTGGATGATGCCCAGTGAACGAGGAGTGAAAAGGAGCGCATCAGAGACCATTTAGTTTAGGAACAAATAGTCTCCCACACCTCAGGGCCCCAGCCTACCACCGGTCTGAGCGCAGTACTGGGAGAGGTTACATTCTATTAGGGAAGCACAGAATATATCTTATAAAAACTTCCTTCACAAACTCCCCGATCTAAAATAAATACCCTATGGCAGTGCTAAGTTTCTCTGACCCCGAGCCCCCGGACAACAGCCCCACTGAGACACGGCTCCCCTACTCTGAGGTAAGACCAGCTCCCACTCCCTCCCATCTCCCTCCTCTTGTAACAAGCCCCAGGCCCCTTCCTTTTCTTTGGGATGTTCCTCATTAATAAAGGTCTCTCTATTACAATAGCCTGAATAAAAATCATCTCCTTAAATGTCTAGTGCACTTTGTCTTTCACATCCGCAATCTAGACTAATTCATTTCTTTAGCAAATAGTGAAGCATTATGCTTCACAGTTTACAGATGAGGAACCTGGGCTCACCATTCTCCCAGACCAGGGCCAGGATTCAGGTTTTCTGACCCTAGGAGGGACTCACATTATACCAGGCCACATCACCTGGACCAGGGCCTTAGTGCTGAGGCTGAGGACCGCAAGAACTCTCCTTTCTGTTTCTCTCAATGGTTACTGCAACATTTATCAGCTATTCCCAATGTCAGTTCCAATGTGGGTGAGTCAGAACCCAGGGTTCTGGAAGGTTCTACCAGCGGCAATCAGAAGTTAGTTTCAAGTTTGGCTTGAGACCCTCCTTAGTCATGATTCTTCCTCTAGGTCAATGAACTGTGACTAGAAACTGAACATCCTACCCAACAGGACTGCTGTGTGGCATGTGGGACTGGTTCTGAGGCTACTTGGTCAGCCAGCGCCTGCCAAGAATTTGAGTCTAGCACCATGCCTATGCTTCATCTCTGAAATTCCTTCTCCACAGAACTCTTGAAGAAAATGATCTTGCTTTGTACATCTTTTATTCTAGGAAACAAAAGTCCTCAAAGAGGACCTTTTAAATTACTCATCTGGAGAGACTGAATGTCAAAATATAAATATAAAAGCACAACATTTAAGGTGGGTGTAATAATTTACATCTTTGAAATCTGTTTTTTTTAATTGTTACATATCACATTAAAAATTTTTTTTTAATTTATTTGAGAGAAAGAGAGAGAGAGAGAGAGAGAGAGAGAGAAAGAGAGAGAAAGAGAGAGAAAGAGAGAGAGAGAGAGAGAGAGAGAGAGAGAGAGAGAGAGAGAGAGAGAAACCAACCAGGGGAGGGGTGGAGAGAGGGGGAGACAGAACCTGAAGCAGGTTCCAGGCTCTGCGCTGCCAGCACAGAGCCTGACGCAGGGCTCGAACTCATGAACTGTGAGATCATGACCTGAGCCAAAGTCAGATGCTTCACCGACTGAGCCACCTAGGTGCCCCTCTTTTCTTTTAAGTAGGCTCCATGACCAAAGTGGGGCTTGAACTCACAACCTTGAGATTAAGAGTCGCATGCTCTACCGAGTAAGCTATCCAGGAGCCCTAAAAACTGCTTTATTATGAACAATGTACGTCAGAGAAAAATACCTAAAATGCTCAGTCATAAAAATGAAACCGTTTCCTAGATTTTTGTAGGCTTTTATAGAATTCATTCAGAAATTACAGCTTAAAATGGTAGCTTAAGACTGTTTTAATTTACATATTTAAATATGCGGCTAACTGTACTTCAATTCTATATCAATAAAGTTGTAAAAGCAAAAAAGAGAAGTAGCTATCGCCACAGTATCTCTTACCGTGCTTTGTTTCACCCGCTGGTGAGGAGAGTTGAACAGGAAGGTGCCAAACAGGGAGATGTGGGTGCTGTCGTACAGTACAGCCAAGTAGGTCTCTGAGAACTCGAAGGCCGCTGGGTATTGTTCTAACAGCTGCCACGTGGCATCCAAGAACAGCAAAAATAAGGGAGACTGGCATATACAAACAGAAAATGGGATGATTTAATGTTGTCCTTCAGTTGTTCACATTTATTTCCAAACTTACTGCTTACAGTAAGGAAGAGATTAATAAGAGAACAGCTAAGCCTAAAACACTTGGCTCCAAAGCTAAGCCAAGGATATGCAAATAGGTGAAACCAGCTTATGTCAAACCTAAGAAGTAAGTTCAACTGTGATAAACATCACAGCCCTTACTTGTGTAGTATCATTGAAATGGCAAAGTAAACAGGCAAGTGTTACTGTATGAATGGGGGATACTAAAATATGTGATTAAGCTTATCTGGAAATAATTCTTTAGAATGCTGAAAAATAAAAACAAAAAACCAACAACTCCAAACCAAAAAACAACTTCTGTAATTAGCTTTTGGTGCACCGTGCAGGCTCAGCATCCGGAAAACTTCCCAGAGTTTCAGAAAACAGTTGGCATTAGCCTCTAGGTCACATGGTGGAGCCCCAAGTATAACAGCTGATGACAGCTATTGTATCCTGGAGTCCCAGCATCTTTTTATTTTTTTAAGTTTATTTATTTATGAGAAAGAAAGAGTGTGTGAGAGCAGGCAGGGGAGGGGCAGAGAGATAGAGAATCCCAAGTAGGCTCCGCCCTGGCAGTACAGAGCCCACTGTGGGGCCCAAACTCACCAACCACTGAGATCATGACCTGAGCAGAAATCAAGAGTCGGACGTCACCCAGGCGCCCCTAGCATCTTTTTTTTTTTTTTTATGTTTATTCATTTTTGAAAGACAGAGACAGAGCACAAGCAGGGGTGGGGCAGAGGGAGAGTGGGGCACAGAATCCGAAGCAGGCTCCAGGCTCTGAGCTGTCAGCACAGACCCCAATGTGGGGCTCAAACTCAAGAACCGTGAGATCATGACCGGAGCCGAAGTCAGACACTCAACCGACTGAGCCACCCAGGTGTCCCACGCCCCCAGCATCTTTTAAGTGAAGTATTCGCTGTCGAGATTTCCTCAGATGGTAGTCTGTACTGCTCAGTCAGCCTATGCTTCTGAAACCACCATTCTGTGAGATGCCTGCAGGGCCTTTCACAGGCTCTCCTACCTCTGCACCCATGGCAGCCCCTGTGCCCAGAGCTGTTACAAAGATGTCCCTCTCAAACATCCCATTCTTAACACACGTGCCCCATTTTAAGAAACTGTGATACTCCAAAATTGATTTTTCAAAATACCTGATGTGCTCATTATTTGCTTTTCAGAGAGATAATACAGCATTTTATCAAGTAGTTCTCAACGTGGAGAAACTTAACAATTTTTTTTGGAATTTTACCTATATCATTACAATAATCTTCGTAAGTACATCAATTTGGATGCTAATCCATTGGTAGTCTTAGACTAAGGAAGCAAAGAGGTGCTAAATGCAATATTTAAAAAGCCTCCTGGTCTCTTTACAGACAGAATAGCTCTTCACATGACAACGTGAATTTTGCCTTGTGTACACTTACAGACTCACAACAAGCACCGAGATTCTGTTACCTCTTTCTCCGATCGCTTTAAGTGGTTGCACCTGTCCAGGAACTGATATCCGGCCATGACCCACTCCTTCTGGATGAGACTCTGAAATCCAGTAATTGTCCTAAAATGGGGATCCAGCATCACTTGAACAAGAGAAGCTACCATACAGCTCAAGTCTCTTCCCTCCTCCTCTGTTAAGAAAAATGGAAAAGAAAATAACTACTACATAGAAAAATGCTGAGTGAGAAAGGGAAGGTCAAGTGGATACTACATTATTCTCTGCCCGAGCTACCTTCAAAATAATCCATGTTAGGAGGGTTCAATGGATTCCAGCAACTCTAAAATATTATAGACGTTAGCTCAATCAGTGTTTAATGGGAAATAATCTTTTATATATGAATATTTTCCAAATAACAGAGCATATTCCTCACACTTTTTACATTTCAGTAGTTTGGGGTGGAAATCTTTCAAGAGTCCATTCTGCTTCCTAAGAACATTAATTTTACTACTGGCAATTCCACATGGTGACTCAGAAGTGAACAAGGAGAATGGGATTGTGTTACCACCATGTGAAAAGGTGGCAAACATTTTCCTCCTATCTTTTATAGCTGGTGTCTTTTTCAGTAATGCCAGTAATACCTGATATGAAAGCCAGCCAAAGAAATCAGACAAAAACTATACCAAGTATCCCTTATGATTAGATTGTAGAAGTCATCAACAAAATACAAGCAAATCCTATTATCTCATGAATTCAAGAATTTATTCCAGGAAAACAAGGTTGGCTTAACATCTGACAAAAAGTAACACTTCATAGACATAAGTGATAAAAATAACATAATCATCTCATTAGATGCATAAAAAGCATCTATGTGATAAAAATCCAAAGTTCATTCTGGATAAACTCTCAGCAAACTAGGAACAGAAGGGTACTTCAACCTGATAAGAGTCCATGAAAACCTGTCACCAACATCAATTTTTAACGATAGCAACTCCTATAACTGAGCAATTCCTCACTTCTAAGTACCTACCCACAAGAAATAAAAAAAATATGTCCCCATGGTGACTTTTATATAAATGTTCACGGCAGCATATTCATAATAGCCATAAAATGGAAACAACTCAATGTCTGTCAGTGGGCAAATGTATAAATAAAATGTGGTATTTACAAAGGAATACTATTCAGAAATAAAAAGGAACAAACTGCTAATACATGCTACGTGAATGAACCTCAAAAGCATGTATGTAAAATAAAAAAAGCAAGAGGCAACAGATCACATTTTGTATGATTTCGTTTACACAGGACATCTCAGAAAGAGCAAATGTGGAGAAAGAGAAAGCACATTAGTGGTTGTCTGGGGCTGGGACACAAGTAATCTTTTTGGTGAGATAAATAATTTCTAAAACTGGACTCTGAACTCTATACTCTGTATGTGTACTAAAAATACACATTCAGAATGGGTGTATTTTATAATATGCAAGTTATACCTCAATAAACGATTTCAAAACCACGTTCTAAAAAAAAGTGTTACTAAGATGTAGGCTCAGTATCTCTTCTAACCTTTTTGTATTATACAAATCCATCAAGACATGTGCTAAGTAGGATTTTTGCAATAGGATTAGAATACCCACTGGTTGAGAGGAGAGATTACTGGATTGTGAGAGTCTGCATTTATGTGTGAATTAAATAACTCTGATGGCATCACAGTTAGGGATTACTTGAAATAGTGCATTACTATTCTTTTTTCCCCTTTAAAGGTTTTAAATATCTTTACTTTGCTAAAGTCTGTTAAATTTGACAGTTGGTAAAAATACTTTTGTAAGCTTCAGTAGTGTAGCATATTCACAAACTATGTAATGTGAAATATATTATAGGATAAGGTAGGAAGTTCATGGTTTATTAAACTACATCAGTAAGCTTAGAAATTCTGTTAGCTGTTAAATTTACCTAACATACAATCATCCTTCACTTAACTGAAACATTATTATATTGTACTTTACTCCTACTAAACATTAGACAAAATTCAGAATATTGGCTATTCTTTTTTTTTTTTAATTTTTAAACTTTATTTAAATCCAAGTTAGTTAACACATAGTGTCAATTCAGTCAATTTCTTGATACCCATCTATTTCTGTAGAGTCCAATCTAGCGTGATCCAGAGGCATTTAAGTTGAAATTTTTATGAATTCGAAACGTAGCAAGATTAGACAGAAAGGATGCTCTGCCAAGACTAACACTCTGTCTGACTCTGTCAGGAGCTGCAACCCAACCCTTCCCATAATACGGGAAGAAGGTTTAACACAGGGCAGAAAACCGGACTCCTTTCTACCTGCGGTCTTTGTGGCAGAATCTGTAGTGTCCCTGACGGGTTAGCAGTAGTGTCATCTACTTGAATGCGGGCAGTCACCACGCTGGCTGGCATGGTGACCATTGTTTTCAGTAATGAATTACCTTGCAGGACTACAGAGAGACGCTTGCTTTCTAGCACATACACGAGTTCTGCTGCATGTTTAAGGAATGCCCTGAAAAGAGAAAGGGAAAAATACTGTTAAGAAAATAAAATTTCCACTATAAATATTTCTTTAAAAGTACTTGAAATCAAGCACATCTGATCTCGCACTGTACTGTGTTCTCAATAACCTTTGCAAATTTCATCAGCATTTAAGTGACTCTTCAACAGAGTATGTTTTGATTTTTCTATCAGGGAAATTCATTAATCCTTTTATAAAAAGGGGGCTGATGTACAGGACATTCTTGAAATCTCAAAACACAGAGACGGAGAAGAGAGGAGTGGTTGCCAGGACACAGCGATGGGGATGCAACTCTGCAGGGGCAGCATGAAGGGCCTTGCAGTGATGGAGCAGTTCTGTATAGTGACTGTGGTGGGGGCTGCATGGATCCACACATGCAATAAAAATGCACATAATACCACACACATGCACATGCGCACACACACACGAAAACACATATAAAGTGGTGAAATCTGAATAAGGCTTATATATTATACCACTGTCAGTTTCTTGGTTTTGATACCACATTCTAGTTATGGAAGATGTAACCACCCAGGGGAAGCTAGGTGAGGAGTATGTGGAGCGCTGGACTGTTTGCATCTCCTATGAGTCTATAATTATTTCAAAATAAAAAGTTAAAGAAGAAAAAGGAAAGTGGTTGTACAAACCTTACATATTCTAACCACCGAGTATTTTCCAGTGAAGACAACCATTTCTCTTCAGTTTCTTCAAAAGGCTCTGCAATAAATATGGTTGATATTTATCTAAAAAACATATATATGTAATATATAGGATGCATATATTTTGTATATGTATATAAAATGTATGCACACACCTTTTTAGGCTTTTTAAACTTAATTTTACATGATCAATATCAGAGTTAAGTGATATGTCACAGTTTTTAATATTTAGTTGGCTTTAAGGAAGTATGCATTTTCACTTAATAATATAGTCATTTAAGAAGACATGTTACAATTCTATAAAAAACAAAAAAAGCACTCCCCTGGAGGCTTTCAGGGAAGTCCTGGAGAGTCTAACCACCTCTGCCTCCTAAGAGCCAGTGGTTCCCACCTTCCTGGTCAGCCCACCCCTGGATTCTGATGCCCCCTACTCACAGCTTCCTGACTGCAAACCTCACCCTCCTTGCTTCTCTCCCCTGCTCCTGCTGCCAGCGCTGCCTCTCAGTGCACGGTTTCTGCGACAGCAGGAATGAGGGCATCTTCCTGGCAGGGCTTGCACTGTCCTGACTCAGTCCTGCGTGGCCTGTCTCAAGACGTCGCTCACCTCACAAACTCCAGGCTTTAGCAATGTTCCAATTACCAGATGGTTGATAAGAATTCACGTCACTGTGCTTTTTTAACACACCATGTCCCTCCCCAGTTCTCCTTCCAGGCAAGCACCCGCTCATCCCTGCAGAACTGCCACAATGGCTGCCTCTCCTGGCTCCCAGGTAAGTAGGACTCTGTGTATACTTCAAGGAGGCCTCACTTGTGCCAGAGATGCTTTCACGGGAGTCATCCCCCTGGGGCACAATGAAAGTGCCTGAGAAGCACTTGTTCTAATACATGTATTAGAAATCTGAGGCCACGCAGATTACAACATGGCTCTGTTTGAAATTCATGTCAAGTCCCTTATCTTAAAACATAACTGTGTGCATTAAAATCTTAGGAAGTTTGTATGGGTAGCTCACTGTTCTCCTTGGCACTTTACAGAAGTATCCTACCACACCATTTATTATTTATTTCAAAGTGGTGTAATTGTTTTTTTTTTTTTTCCCTCCAAAACAAAAAAGCAGTTTAAACTCCATTTTCTAAGAGCTTCTGATACTGTCATGCAAAAGTATTTCAACGTGCCTCTACTTAAATATATCTATTTTTCAGGGGCGCCTGGGTGGCGCAGTCGGTTAAGCGTCCGACTTCAGCCAGGTCACGATCTTGCGGTCCGTGAGTTCGAGCCCCACGTCGGGCTCTGGGCTGATGGCTCAGAGCCTGGAGCCTGTTTCCGATTCTGTGTCTCCCTCTCTCTCTGCCCCTCCCCCATTCATGCTCTGTCTCTCTCTGTCCCAAAAATAAATAAACGTTGAAAAAAAAATTAAAAAAAAAAATATATCTATTTTTATATTTTCAAGGGCTATCATTTTTTCTGACATGCCTCATGCAATGGTGTTATCACCCATTCACTGTATACATATATATATATACATATATAATAAAAATGAAATTACCATCAACGCATAGGTGTTTAAGTTTTACAAAAGCCGCCTGTATTTCTTGGATATTGGGCAAGGTCTTATCCAAGTCTGATTTGTAAACATCACTTCTCTGTGGATGACTTTTAGTTATTGCATTACAAATCCTAATAAAGACAAAATCCTTGAGTCATTCATTCATGCCACACATATTTTTTGAAGACTTATTATGAGCCAAGGCACTATTCTCAGAGCTGGAGATAGATAAACAAGACAGGCTGGGCCTCTGCTCTCACAGGGCTTCTATTTCTGGTGGTGGTTGGGTAAATGATAAAGTAATAGGCTGTGGTGAATGCCGTGGGTGGCATAATCGAGTGAATGCAGGCTAGTTCAAGTCATGTGGTCAGAAAGGCTCTTCTGTGAAGGTAATACTGAAGCCAAAACCCAAATAACTAGAAGCCATGAAAGATCTGAGAGAAAGTGTTCTAGGCAGAGGGAAGGTAAGGGCAAAGGTCCTGTGGTGGACACAAGCTTGGCTGTGGAGAAACACAGAGAGGGCCTGAGATGGTATGTCTAAGGAGAAAGGGGCAGAGAGAGATTTGACAACAAAGAGAGCCTGTCCTACTTATGAAGAACAGGATAGCTGAAAAAATAGAAAGAATCAAAACAATTCTCAGCTTAATAAAATTAAAACATTACAAGTGCCACTGGCTGTGAGGGTTCAGGACGAACTTCCACCCAGCAGTGCTGCTGGCTTCCCTCTAATAGCAGCCTCCCCCAGCCCCCACCCTTCCTGTGCATCTAACCAGCAGACATGGCAGTGAACACTGGGCTTGGACTGTGACATGACAGGTCATTTCAAATGTGACCAAGGTAAAAAACACCCATCAGGGATTATTTGAATAATACTCCTTTTCCTTTCCTGAAGGATCATTTGAGGGTCACTTGTCAGTTATTTGCTTCAGCAAAGGTGCCTTTCTTCGGTATGGCCCTGGGGAAAAAAAACTAAGATCTGACTGTAACAGTCACAGACTGTGATATACAATTTGAGGCTCTCTGAGCCGGTTTTCTAAGATCTGTTCCTTTGTTCCTCATTTATTTAACAAGTATTGAATAAATATTCAACATCACAGGTGTTTCCTGGGTGCTGAATGTACAATGGTATGCAAAACATAGTCCCTTCAGCTCAAGAAGCTTATAGCCTAGTAGCAAATATAGGCAGTAATCAAACTGTAACACATACATGCAATTAAAGACTGAAGTAAGTGTTATGAAGAAAATTTAGAGAGCCATAGAGAATGTATAACTTGAGGCCTGATCTAGTTTAGGAGGTGAGGGAAAGCTTATCTTCAGGAAGTGAGATTTGCCATGAGAGATAAAGAACGAGGGAGTACTGAGTGGGTGGGGTGGAGAGTGCTGGAGGATAAGCATGAAGAAAGACAGCCCAGAAGGGAACAGCACTGGTGAATATCGGGAGATGGGAAAGCACAGGCAAAGGCAAAGTCCATGGTGGCCAGGGCCAGGAGCCACGGGTGTGATTGTAGATGAGACGTGGAGGGAAGAAATGACGGGACTCATGGTAGGGGTGTAGCTGGGGTGGACACAGTTTGTAAGGTTTCTAAAAAGTGAAGTGACAGATTTGATGATGGGCTCAACGTGGGGAAGGAAGTGAAAGAAAACGTATCCAGGATGACTCCTGGATTTCTGAGGGCAGGCTGGGAGAGTGCGCGGTGCTTGTATGCTGGAGGCTGGTTTTGGACCATATTGAGTTTAAAGGGCCTCTGAGACGTGCACGTGGAAGATGTCCCATTAGAGATAAAATCTGATGGTCACTAAAGCCACAGCCATAGGTAAACTTGTTTAGGAAAAGAAATGCAGAATGGGAAGAAGCAGTGGCCTGAAACAGATTCTAGGTAATGTCTGCAGAGGGCAGAGTACTGGTGAGGAAGAGGGGCTTCAGGAGAGTGGAAAGAAGCAGGACTCAGAGGGCTTTAGGGAGAGACTAAACAATAGTGATGCCCACTGACTGAGAAATGCCTTCTGCTTTAATGACATGGAGATTACTGGCGACTTTATAGCAGATGATGCCAAACTTGTTTTTGGTAGCTAATTAAAACAACCATTTAAGCTACTGTGACTCTGTAGACCTAAGACACACCAAACTACAAGAAAGGTCTGATTTACCCTAAAGTATCTCAGCTGGAAATCACCACACGTTGCAAATACGTTAAAGGCAACACTGTTATACCAAAACGTCAGCAATGTAAGATTCCCCAGTGTCTTATAAGCCAAAGAATTAACTTCTATTTAGTATAACTTAAATGTGAATTTTAATATATTCACATTTTTTTCCAAAATGGTGATTCTTGTACAGACTATATGTTGCTAACTAATTAATAAAACTATGCCACTTTCTAACTATTTTCAAGTAGTCAGGAGTTTCATATATTATTTCTGACAACTAAAAATGTCTACAGCAACAATGACCATTTCTTGATACCTCTGGTCGATTTTCCTCTGCTGCAGCACATCTTTTATGAGGGCCATTCGCACGAGGGCACTGCCATTTGAGTGGCTCCAGCACCAGAACTAGGAGAGAAGCAGAGCCTTTATGTAACTGGGTAGAGAAAAAGACATCGGTATGAATGAAATCCAACAGACAGCACTTACGGGCATCCTTCTTCCAACAAAAGAATGGGAAAAGATCTTTAGATCTTGGTCGGCTAAAGAACTTGGCACTACAAAGTATTCTGGAAGGCTGGAGAGGAAAAAACAAACCATAACATAAGAATCCTGTGCTCTAGGCAGGTAAGTGTGCTCTGAAGACTCCACATATAATTAAACACGTTTATCCCCATTTAATGTGCACCCTACTTGGTAGCCACATGGTAGGTACCATGGAAGACAAGGTTGACCCTAGACATCTCTTGTCTAAAACACGTGTGACGTTGTCAATTATCACAAAACTTATATTTAAAGCAGGGGGAAACATCCAAAGGAGATGTCTAAAATATTCTCCAAAATGATTATTAATCAAACATGTATTCGGTTTCTGAAAAACATGCCCACCTTTGTTCTCTATGGGTAAGAATCCAAGGCACATAACACAAGACCACACCAAACCCACAAATCTACCAAGAAGCTTTAGCTTCTGGGGTGCCTGGGTGGCTCAGTCAGTTAAGCATCTGACTCTTGGTTTCAGCTCAGGTCATGATCTCATGGTTCATGAAATCAAGCCCCGTGTTCAGCTCTGAACTGACAGTGCAGAGGGATTGGGATTCTCTCTTGGGATTCTCTCTCCCTCTCTCTCTGCCTCTCCTCTACTCACACTCTTTCTCTCTAAAAATAAATAAAGAAACTTAAAAAAAAAAAAAAAAAAGCTTCAGCTCCTTATCTCCCCCTTCTAACCTTTCCTGTTTCCAAAGACACGCAGACTCACTGACTGGGCAGCAATCACTAGTGCTCACTGCACCGTAAGACATCCTCCTTTCTACCGTAAGACATCCTCCTTTCTCTCTTTTTTCATCTTTAAGATAAAATATCCATGAAAGCAGTTTTTTTATCGTTTTTTTTTTTTTTAAGGCTTATTTATTTTTGAAAGAGAGAGATTAGAGAGCAAGTAGGGGAGCCAAAATCAAGAGTTGGACGATTAACTGAGCCACCCAGGTGCCCCTCATGAAAGCATTATTAAAAACAAATATTCCATTCACCATAACTTGTAAGTTATCAGAGAGCAGAGTGATTATTATTCAGAAGAAGTCACCTCCAGCTATAAATAAGGCTATAAAAATGGGACTTACCAAGTGGATATCATGTAACCCTCATTAATAGAACAAACTCTCCATGCGGAAGCCCCTGTCCTCTTGATTTCTCGGTCCCAGTCTGAGTACGTCTCGAAGAGTGGAGTCTTTTGGCTGCTGCCACCACCGGCCCCGCTGCCACCTCCTGAGGGTATTCCATTAATATTATTGGCTACAAGAAAAAGCAATACTATTAATTTTGTTTCAATGGTCACATTTCGTCCCACATTCCCTCTCCTCTCTGGGCGCCTCCTATCAGAAACACGCGCGGACGGGGCACCTCTCCTAGATGTTCCTACTGCTCCCAGCAGTCCTGAGAAAGAGGCAGCCCTCCTCTTGTCAAAAGAACTCATTTTCCTTATCCAGCTCTCTCCTGACTCCTTTAGCACCACTGGTTTTTCTGTCCTTCTACTGGCTCCATCCCTTTTGCCTTCAAACACAAGTAAGTCACCTTGACTTTGAAAAGACTTTCATCTGACCACACTGCACCACTCCAGCTGCCCAGGCTATACATTTCCCCTCCTCCCTGTTACTGACCACCTTCCCAAATGATGAACAATGCCTGCTGCGCCGATTTCCTCCCCATTTATTTTCTCCTTTTCAATGGTCTTCCATCCCTACCATTTCACAGAAACCACTCACGAGCCTCCCTCAGTCCCCTGCCCTCAACTGCTCATTTTCTCTACATTTTGCCTGGAACAATGAATGCATCCAATCATCTTTGTTCTGGTCCAGATCTTTCATCCTTCTGATACTGATGTCTCAATCCTTTCTATGGCTCACTATAAAATTTTTGGGTCTTCTAGATCTACTCAGTTTTCCTTTGATAAGCTCACAAGTGCTCCTTGTTCTCCACCAGAGGGCCACTCCCATCTGGGGATCTCAGCAGAGCGCAAGTGTACTTGAACTTCCTTAGCAACGAGCCCTCTGTCATCAAGGAGAGCTGCTATCCTCTGGGAGAAACCCACAGCCTCAGGAGCCTGCAGAATGACCAGAGAGAAAGAGGACATCTCAGCAATCAGCCTCATCTACCCTGGCGATCCAGGGTGACAGACGGCATGATCTCTACTGGTCCTGTGTCTCACCCCTGAAGGCTGCTGACATCCCTGGCACGTGCTGCACTCAAACTGGCCTGCAGCCTGCCACGAGACACATTCCCCCCAAAACCATGCTTTCATGATGCTATACGCTTGCCTCAACTTTCCCTCATGCTCATTTTCCAACTTCCTTAAGCAAACCTACATGGTTTTGCTTAAAAGGCCCTTAATTGACCTCATCTTTATGTCTCATTACTGCCTAACCCCATTCTCTCTTGTAGCCAAAGAAACCCTTCCATCATCCCATGAACATGCCATGCCCATTCCTGTTGACTATTTAACACCTGGTGTGAGACAGGTATTTTCTGAGAACCTACCATGTACTAAGGCCCGAAAATTTAAAAGTAAGGTTGTCTCTCTGTCTTGAAAGCGCTAACGAGACAGAGGAGGGTGAGCTCAGCACTAGTCACAGTGAGGCAAATGTATGAGTGCAGTGACAGCACGGAGGAAAATGACCCTAGAGCTCGCTGGAGACAAAGGCCGGGACAGGAGAGGCCTCAGGACTTGACCACAACTGAACAGAGTCCTAAGGAATGAGCCAAACATTGCCAGGTGGCTAGTGAGAAGGAGGCAGGCATGCTGGGCAGAGCAAAACACAAAACACATGGTGTAATTGTAAAACATCAAGTAATGAAATACAGCTAGAGCTTTAGGGATGCAAAGGATGGGGGAAGAGAGGCTGGAAAATTAGATGGGGCCAAGACTCTCGGTCTGTGCTGCCCCAAACAGTAGCCACTAGCCACTAGCCACATGTGCTATTTAAGTTGAAACAAAATTAAATTAAAAATGCCGTTCCTTGGTTGTACCAGCCACATTTCTAGTGCTCAAGAGCCACATGTGGCTAGTGGCTCCTATACTGGTCAATGCAGAGGAGAGAATATTTCCATCCCTGGACAGTGCTACTCTAGATTAGAAAGGATCCTGTGTGATTACCCAGTGATTCTGATTTTAGCAGGGCTTGTTTAAAATCCAAATGCTAAAGCTAAGCGCACAGCCTGGAGCCACCCCATCTAGAGCCTTCTCTGGGGTAGGTACAAGAATGTATGCGGAAGAACTTGGGAGTTGTAACCTCTGCAGGACACAGAACCTTCATGGAATTTCCAGGCAATTCTCACTTTACACAGTGTTCCAGAACACTAATAACCACAGAAAGCTATACAATATTAGAAAATCTAAGTAATTCATCATATGATCAAATTAAAGGGGAAAAAAACCCCATATGATCAGTTCAAAGTGCAGGAGAATATTTGATAGAGTTCAACACCTACTCATAATTTAAAAAAACAAAAACAAACTTTGGCAAATTGGGAATAAAAAGGAATTTCCTTACTTGATAAAGGGTAATTACCAGCAAACACACAGTAAACATCATCTTCATCAAAACCAGAACAGAAATGATGCCCGCTATCATGATTACCATTCAACACTGTACCAGAGGTCCTCGCCACACAATGAGATAACCACCACGGAAAAAGAAGTATAAAGAACACACAATTTTCAAAGAGTGACATAAATAGTTTGGCAGGATACCCTCACCTAGGAGTCTAGGACCAAATACTTTGGAGTGTTTTGAAGTTACAGACTTTAGTAAGCCAGGCTGAGAAACATAATGAGATTGTTTCTCTGGCAAGATTTAGTCTCAAGATCTAACTAAGACCAATTTTCTGAACATCAAATGACAGAAACTGTAAGACAATGCATTGTTTACTATTTTATAGGCTTGAGTTGCTGAAAACCTGCCTGTTTCTTAACAACCAGCACTAGGCTGTATGCTCTGCATCTTCTTCAAGGAGAGCTTATTAGAGAATGTGTAGCAGATACTCAATCTGGCATTAAAGAGTCAAGAAATTCGAAAGCTTTCCAGAAATCCCAAAGGCCTGATGCCTGCAGCCTGCTCTACCAGTGGATTACTAATAGGGGTGCAGCAACAGACTGGCAAAAATCAGTCATCTTAGGGAGATCCAGCTCCCCTGAGAGTTACCTGAGTGAGGTTTGAGGATAGCTCATTAGCCAACTAAAAGTGAAACTATATAGTGGGCATTCCTGACCTTGGCTATCTTCTGTGAAACTCAGAACTCTAATCCCAGGCTGTGTTGAAATTATCGACAACAGTTTCTACTAAATTAGCCTCATCCATATTTAGAATGGTCTCAAGCAACAGCAAAGACAATAAAAGTGGTCACCATATGAGAAGAAAGACTATCACTCTGATGATACTGTAGGAATTAGAAGCCATAGGGTGAAAAGGGTAAAAACAGAGCTGTGATGTTAGGTTCAACAGAGTGAGTCAATGAAGTGGGTAGCGAGATTTGGACTTTGGGCCTGGGGTGTGGCCAGGATGGCTGCATTTCTAAAAGATGTAGGAGGCTGGCCCGGAACCACTAGTAATCAAGAGACAGGAAGATCAGTCACAGCCCTGTATAGCTACACTAAGAATCTTAAAAGAACTGACAAGCAACAAACTTTAAAAATTCCTACACTGTTTCAAATGGACTACGTACTCTGTAAGTGGTTTTCAAATAAGCATGTAATGGAAAATCTAACACTAAGACCTAAGTTCATAAAAAGGACAAAATTACAAAATAAAATCAACCTCACTGAAAACGTTTACTTTCTGCCGTGAGTCTAATCACAGCTTGAAGTTACATCCCAGCATTTGCAAGCTCTGCCACGGAGTAGAGTTGCCAACACTGAGGCTACAGATAACTTCATGAGGTTTGCACTTCTTCAGACCAGAAGCATAATCTGACATCTCATCAATTTTATCACAAAGATGAATCTGTACTTTGAGGACATTATTTGCCCAATAATAATCTGACTGATGAAAGCAGGGTCCTTTCAAGTTAAAAAAAGGAAAAAATAGAGCCACTGTTTTTGTTTGTGCCAGCGCGTCCTGTGGCGTCACCGTGCAGGAATGTTCCAGGCCTGTGGGTGCTATGCATCATCCCTTTGGGATCCTCTCAGAAGTACTTGGGTGACTGCTAAGCTTTTCATAGATGTGTTTTTTTTTTTTTTTTTTTTTTTTTTTTTTTTTTTTTTTTATGCAAGTGATGCCCAATGTGAAAGAAAACCTCAGAGTGCCTAAGTTCCTCCACAAGATTCTGTCCTTAGGTAACTGCAGGGGACATCCTCTAACTTCAGATCTTATTTGTGGAAACAGCTTTGTCACCTACCTGCCTGCAAAAAGGACTTCTTTATTCTTTAATCCAGCCAATGAATCAAGGTGGCATCCAGAAGTTCAAGAGTGGATTAGTGGGCATCTTTCACTCACAAATTAATGAATTCTGACTGCAGTGTGTGGAAATTTCAGGCTTCTTTTGATCTTAAAGATGCAGTTTATGCTTCTGCAACAGCACGGAAGGATATTAAAGGATGTTACCCTACGAGGAATCTTAACAAAACTCTGGTCAAGTGTTATGTTTATGAAGTACCTGTCAAAGGAGGAGGTGACTGAAGGATGTAATATGAAAAGTGGTCCTGAATATTTTAAGTATGAATTATCAAATTTTATCAACAGACTATATCTAAGAAGACCTATAGATCTGATTGATGTAAATAAGAAAACCCAGTAGAAGAAGAGCTAGGGGTTGAGTAACTATTTAAAGTATAATTAACCCAGAGATGCCCACAAGGAATGGATGAAGAAAACTGAAAAGTAACTGAAGCAGGCATCAGGTTCCCAAACGCATAATGAAGTTCACTGTATTTGCTGAGCTCAAGTCATTACATTTTACTGCAGAAGTCATGCATCTAAACCCTGGACTGAATCATTTCTACTAGAAAAAAAATAGCATCAAGAATTGATCTGTATCATAAACAAATTTAAGTGGGAATCAAAGGCTCTCTCCTACAATTCTTGGACTTCTTGAAACCTGCATTTCAGTTACTCTCTTGCAACTTTGGGTGAGGATCTTATTGAAAATAACCTTGATGGTGATGGTCTGTGGCTTGATGATGATCCAAAGAAACAGTCACCTAACAAGTAGTGCAGGGTCTACAACACTTTATGTTTAGGTTGTAAGTGAATTTTATAGTTTATGTTAAGAGATACACTTAAAAAGTCAATTGTACTGCTAAAACCTAAGTTATGATTAGTTACATTTTGATAAGAAAAACTAAGCAACAAATAGTTTTTCATCCAATTTCTATAAATATAGCACCATATGGTAAAAGCTACCATTTCTATGGTGCTTACAAGTATCTTTTAAAAGAGTGAAAATAGTTATACCATATGCATCTGCAGATACTGTGTACTGTTCCTACATCTTAATGTATTTACAGTCTAGTGATACTTGAATATGCTTTTATTATATAGATTTAAATTACTACAATGTTTTGAGGTAACAAAATGAAAGACCAGTACAACTACTAATTTGTAAGATCCCTCTCCAGTCCATGCTGGGGTGAATTGATCTTTCATTACAAATATGTAATTGATTTCTTTTTCTTCCTTAATGGTAGGAGAGCATGTGCCTCAGCAGGTCACTAATCCACAAAGGGCTGATATGAGATGTGACCTCTTTGTTCTTCCTCTATCCTTTTATGAGATTTTTAAAAAATGGTTGATTAAAATTATCTTTGCATATTAAAAATGTACAGAATTACATGGTCAACTGGAATTCTCCCTGGCAATGCCATCACACTGAGTGATGTAATTACAAGTTCAGCATATGAAGAGTACTATTTTACTTGTACAGAAACTGCCTAGAATAGACTTGTCCTTTGGACAGATGCTCCTCTTCCTTTCATCAATCTTACTCAGAAATATAAAGTCAGTATTTTGATGATCTTAATGAAGTCCACTGAAAAGTCTAACCACTCTAGCTTTTGCATGAAGCCACACCATGCCAGAAAAGATCATGCATTTCAAATATCTTTTACTTTTCTGCCAGTTTTCTTAAATGATAAGATTACTTTAACTCAAGCTACCAATTAAAAGTGGGGAGGAGGGAGATCTTTCTTCACCATAAAATAAAAGCCAGGGACTGTAGATAAAATACCTGACATGATTTTTATAAGCCTATGTTTATAGCTGCTTGCAGATTCTCCCTGCTCACTTTTTAAGAAATAATCTAACAAATATTGTCTCTTTTAGTATATAGTGCTCACTTCTCTAACAGCTATGAAGTTCATAATTCTACAGTCATTAAAGCCCATGTACTTGGAAGCCTCTGACAAACATAAGAATAAAACTTACACAAAGTAAAGTTAGTCACAATATTTAATATTTTCATATTTACCTGAATTGTGGTATTTTTTCCCAACATATTCAAATGCAAAGAGTAGCTGGAGGTCTGTTGGCTGGGAATAATGAGCTATTGCAAGGCATACCTAGGAAAAATTCTACATTTAGAATTTGATTTTAACACACTTATTTAAATGAAAATGTACAATAAGGCCTTGATTACTGGGAGCATCATCTTGGATGGGGCAGTGATTACAGATATTTATTTACATGTTTTTTTCTGTTGACCTAGAATGTGAAAGAGCTCCTTAAGGCCAGGTATCTCATTCACTGTTGTGCCCCCAGGACACTGTTTATAATCTTTAGTGAGTACATGGTTAAGTATTCAGTAAGTGTTTACGGAGTTGAATTTTAACAAGAAAGTAATTTTATTCAAATAAATGAAACTCAAAACCTAGAGAAGCATTCTCTAAAAAGTCAGTGACATATATATACAGTCCTAAGGAAAGGATTGAAATAGTTTCATTTTTGGTGGACTATAATGACTTAATACCAGCAATCTGGAAGGTTTAATGTAAGGTATGAAATTTTAATGTTCATACCCCATGGATTAAAAAAAAAAACCTAAACTTAACAGAAAAGCTACAATGACAAAAAAATAAAAATTAGCAAGAAACCCTAACGTACAGGATGGCTCAAAGAGGTACATCAAAAAAAAAAACAACAACAAACCAAAAACGTGTGTTTAAGGAAATGGTTTGAGACTATGCCTATGGTGGAGAAAGTGTGGGCTTTGAAATCAAACAGATCGGGGCTTACATCGTAGGTCTACCAGACACCTGCCATGTAAGTGATGTAAAATCAGTTCACCTCTCTGAGCTTCGGTTTGTGCATCTGTGAAATGAAGACAATACCTATGGCTGAAATAAGGATTAACAATCTTAATGCATGCCTGGCTTCTGGAGAAGCTCCATACATGGAAATATGGTTGGTACTATTCCCAACTGCTGCTGGATAGAAGGAAAGACAGAGAGTGCTCTATGTTTGCAAGGCCCTAGACTAATTTGTAGAAGAAAACACTTTTAAATGAACAGAGCGGAAAGAAGAACTATAAGACATATGCAAGGAGAGAAGAGGAGATCTTATTTGAAAAGATTACATATCATTTAGAAGGAAAAGCATTAAGCCACATGACATATGTCCAACAGTGAGCAAGCAGGAAAAGTTCAGTTGTTAGTCCATGTCCATTAGCAGTGTTTGGGATGTGTTGATGCAGATTCTAACTGTAACCAGTTCTAGTTTAAAATACATTTTAAAAGTCTTCTATAGAATAAATGTTTCCTGTCTTACTAAATTAGAATATATATACAAATAAGAGGACAGAGTTTATCATTAATTTTAGTTCTGACTAAAAACAATTACCAAAGGTTCCTGAAACCTTTATATAATAGCTCGATTTTCTCAATGGCTACAAGGAGAGCTTTCTATGACAGTCTAATTTAATGCAATTAGAGAGAGTAAGCTACATTTCCATCCCTGATCTGTACAACAGTCTTCCTGAAAGAGCCTCTTCTAGCAGCAAGACTACTGCAATCCGTACCTCAAATCACCACTTCCTATTCCTCCGGGCACCATATTGACTTTATGAGTTTTATAGCACTTTTTTCAAGATTATCTTTCATTTTTGTTCCATTTCTCTGCACGATCACAGCCATGTTCTTAAGCCATACTCACCTTTTGGCATGTCTGTGGGCTTTCCCACATTCTGAAAAAAATCCACAATGCCTAAGATTTCTCTTCTGAAGATAAAATTCTGACCAACAACTCTGCTCCTGGGATAACCTGCCACAGTGCCCAGATACCTGCCTAATAAATGCAATCTTCTCATTCTTGACTCTTCCCCAAACTGGTTCTCCTCCACCAGACATCCCTTCCCATCCCAATATTCCTTCAGTGGTCTCCTGTCGGAGAATGACGTGCCTGCACAATACTGTGTCTGCCTCACTCACAGTCACCTCCTCTGCCACACGCTGCTAGGGAAATCCTTCTCCACAGCTTAGCCAACCACACTGTCTCTGAAACTACCATCTCTGTTCAACTCGAATCTCTTCACAGGCCTTCCCATGACAGAGCTGATTTCCCAGTATTAACTGCAGAAACGCTTCTGTTCTCTCTGAATAATAGCCACTGTGATATAAAGTGTCTCTTCAGTTAGCTATGCTTTCGTATAAAGTATTCATGAAATAGTTTTAAGTATAGATAAAATACAAAGTATTCATGAAATAGTTTTACTTAAGTAAAGATAAAAAGGGCACAGGCGTTCTTTGTTTTAAATTCCATTCCTCAAGGGTAGATGCTGCGTCTCTCATTCATTCAACAGATACTTCCTGCACATCCACCATGTCCAAAGCCCTGGGGCAGCAGCAGCGAACAACAGAGACACAGATCCCTGGCCTCATTAAGCTTACATTCTAGGGGGGAAAACAGACACGAAACAAGATAAACAAAAACTATAGTAAGTGAGATAATTTTAAGTGCTAAAGGAAAAAAAAAAGTCCAGCAGGGAAGGGATATGAAATGTTATGGTGAGGCGAGAAGGAAATAGGTTAATAATTTAGAGGAGACCAGGAAAGACCTCTCTGCACAGAGCTGAGCGAAGACCTAAAGACTTCTAAGCATTTTTGTTCTCTTTAGTAGCTTTCTGAGGTTGCTTTGAGCATAACAGCAGCTGCACTAAAAATACTAGTGGACAAAATTACTTACAACATAGTAAGGAAAAGTGCTCTAAGCCAATGAAACGATCATATCATGTTTTCTAAGACATTTAGAAAGCAGCCACAGGCCTTGTTTACACAAAAGAAATTCACAGATCACTGATTATGGAATACGCTGTTTATGGCCACAAAGCAAAAACAAACAAAGCCTATCTGCTAGGCAAAACCCAACATAGCCCAATTCTAAAAAGCCCTTAAGAATAACACAACATCACATTTTTAAGGTTAGGAAAGCAAATGGGTATGTGTAATAGCATCTTCACTTAAAGAAGACTATGAACAATCTTGTGAAACTGATATTGTTTAATCACCTGCACAATGCCGGATTTTGGCAGGGAGGGGGCACAACGTGAACTAAAGCTTGCGTTCAGCAGTGTCATTAAAAGATGCAAAATGTATTTCTATGTAACCTAAGTCAGGGTCATCTTTGAGAACCCAGATATAGGCACATACCACCTGCATTATCTGGGTTACATTCATGCTGTTATGTAGGACACTTTGAGAAGAGAAATAAAGCCAACATTCCTCTCCCTCAAGCGTTTTCATACACGCTCTTTAAAAAGCTTATGTCCACATTCCTAGCTTCTGTCACTGAGAGTTTCAAAGACTTAAAAAAGTAGGTCTCATTTTCATGTAAAATTATTCTAATTTTGTAATGTACTTCATAAGCATTAAAAATTTTTAGAAAATGTCTACATCTTTAAAAACTGCTCCTGAAAATAGTTCATTTGCACTGGTTATTATAAAGAATGAGAGTATCTTGGTATTAAAGACAGTGAATTATGGTAAATATTTTATTGGAGGAAAAAAGTAAACTACTTCTAAAGTGATTTTTGGACCAAGACTGATTCTTGTGGACAGAAGCCAGAAGTACCCACAGCTGGCTTCTCCTCTAAGACCAGCCGGGGTGCAGCCCTAGGGAAGCTCAAACCTTATCAAGTTCTAGCACACTGGCACACAAAACTGGTTTCCTATATTTTTGTGGTCTAAAAGCCACCAAGGAGTTAAGTCTCATATTCAAGGCAAAAAAAAAAAAAAAAAAAAAAAAAAGAAAGTTCAGGAAAGGCCAACTTATTGTTTAAATCTATAGATGGGTTGAATTTTCACTTCTAGAAAGTATGCCTGAACAAGTAGTTCACCACCAAGTATTCTGAGAATAAAGTGGAGACAAAGGACAAATATTTCACTTGCCATCTTTATATATATATATTTTTTATAAGTGATAAATCATTGAAAAAGATATCTATTTTTTGTCCCTCAGTTTTGAGCAGAGGTTCTACAAAAGGAAATGGTGATTTCAAGTTGCTTTGAGGCTAGGTGTCCAAATTCTGCATTATCAAATTCCTTTTTTCTTTATACAGATCTGTCCCAAATATCCTTATTTACCTGTGACAGACCAAGGATAATGAAGAATGCTAATGGATGCAGTAGCACAATGTCATCTAATTTTGTCATAACATAATTTAGGCAACAGTAACTAGACTACCAGAAGGCTATAGAGCAACATTTAACAAAATGTGAACCAATTTAGCATTCTGAGATCTTGTATTTCAAACAGAAATATAAATGCTTTTAGTATTTCAAAGCTAATCAGTGGTTTACCCACCAAAGAACTCTGAACATGCATCTTGAAACAGTGCATTTTAAAACGTGCATCCTAAAACAACTTTAAAAAATCAGAGCATTTCCAGAGAAAATTTAGCAAAGTTTCTGGGAGATATAGTCAAGCTGTAACTTTCCAACTGTTACCTAATTTTAGATGAAAACTTGTTCACTTCAAATAAAAGAATTATGCTAGAATTCTCATTTTTAACTCATGAAGCCAGTAAGCTTTAACAGCACACGCCTTAACCTCTCTGTGTTTGAAAATGTGTAAATTAGGGAAAAAATTCTTTATTTATATTCATTCCTACTGCCTCTAATTTTTTTCCTGTGCCTCCCTTCCCCCCAACATGACTGTACAAAAGACAAAAAGAGCATTTCCTTCAGGGCTGAGGTTACATCCTTTTAATATTTTAAGATAGTGGGGGAAAAGGATTTTTGCCAGAAACTTGGTCTTGGGAAAAGGCATAAACAGTTGGACTAGGCTGTTTTTGTAGACTGTTCAATGCGGCCCCCTCCATCACTTACCAGCAGCACAAGGGATATCCTGAATTTCCAGAACACTCATCTGTTTCATTCATTTGGCAACTACTCACTTATGTGGAAACATCTTTTATGTCACTACTTTGTACCACTATTTAATTTTCAGCTGTTCACACTCTATCTTCTCAACTAAGCACTCTGCCTCACACATCAAAAATGACCAGCAAGTATATACTAGAAGGCTCAAGAATAAAGCCAAATAATTATGATTTCCAATTACTGAAATAGAGTCAACTGAAAAATACAGTTGAGAGTGGGAGAAAAGGAAACTTTCTGAAAGAATATTGGGCCACTGTATCAATTTCTTAAAAAAAAAAATCCTGTCCTAACTAAATCTCCTAAGTTCTATGGTGTCCCTATTCTTGAAATGCTATACATCCTGAAGTTAAGGTTTGCATAAGCAGATTCTTGATGCTTTGATTAAATTACACATATATATTTAAGCTCAAGAAAGTAACTCAGCTAAAATGTTTTATATACAGTCTATTGCCTAATTACGCCTGAAGTCTTTCTATATATGAGTGGGCATCTCAAATTAGTAAAATGCCAAAATCACAACCTGCGGAAATGAACAGCTGAAAGGGGTTTTAAAAGCTATCTAGGGGCTGGGGAACCTGGTGGCTCAGTCAGTTGAGCGACTGACTTCGGCTCAGGTCATGATCTCACGGTTTGTGAGTTCGAACCCCTCGTTGGGCTCTGTGCTGACAGCTCAGAGCCTGCTTCTGTTTCTGTGTCTCCCTCTTTCTCTGCCCCTCCCCCATCCATGATCTGTCTCTGTCTCAGAAATAAACATTAAAAAAAAAAAAAAAAAAAAAGCTATCTAGGGGCACCTGGGTGGCTCAGTCAGTTGTGCATCCGACCCTTGATTTCGGCACAGGTCATGATCTCATGGTTTGTGGGATTGGGCCTTGCGTTAGGCTCTGCGCAGTCAGCACAGAGCCTGCTTAGGATTCTCTCTCTCCATCTCACTGCCCTTCCCCTGCTCACACTCTCTCAAAAATAAAACAAACATTTAAAAAAAAAAAGGCAATCTAGTTGACTTTTCAAAAATGCAGCATGCTGGAATATGGTTTCACAGACTCCCTCTGAAAACTTTTAGCCACAGAGTCCACCATCACCCTGCTCGATTATCTAGTCCCAGTGGTCCAGCACTTTCAGACATTTATCTTATTATGCTTGCCTTCCTGTGAAGAAACCACCAAAGTGTATGAAGACAGCTGCCTTGAGAATTTTTGACAGCCTCATTTTGAAATCATCAGAAAATTCACTGCGGTAAGTCTACTAACCATGGAAAACAAATGCACCCATTTTTTGGTGGTGTAAAAGCTGTCTCATTTCTGCAAGAAGGTTCCACTTCACTAAGAAAACTGTTCCTTTATGGGGCGCCTGGGTGGCTCAGTCGGTTAAGCCGCCGACTTCGGCTCAGGTCATGATCTCGCGGTCCGTGAGTTCAAGCCCCGCGTCGGGCTCTGTGCTGACAGCTCAGAGCCTGGAGCCTGTTTCAGATTCTGTGTCTCCCTCTCTCTGACCCTCCCCCGTTCATGCTCTGTCTCTGTCTCAAAAATAAATAAACGTTAAAAAAAAAAAAATTAAAAAAAAAAAGAAAACTGTTCCTTTATTCCCAATGTGTAGGAGCAGGCTTCTCCTGAAAATTCTGTTATTATTCTCTGCATTTGCTGCATCATATAGATGGGCTGGTAGGGCATTAGGTCCACCAGCTTCACTTGTTGGCCAAAGCCAAATGTGGGATGAAGGAAGTAGGAATTTCTGTCATGAACCTTATTCCATGAGTAGGCAATAAACATTCCCCAGAAGGCAAGAGAAAAACAAAGCCAATGAAAAAGTCCCTAGTTTTTAGCTGTTCCTGTGAATAGCACTCAAATTAATTCACTATGATTTCTTTAAAGCACTAATAATTATTAGGTCTCTCCCATAACTATATATTTACTTAACCCTTAGGTAACTTAAGTCTAGCCTTTAGTTCACTGATAAAGTTCTGAGGTATTTTCTAAAGTTCTAACCAAGAAAGAAACCAGCTGGTACTGGTCTTAATGCAAAAGATACACTAATTTTCACATCATAGTTTTTGGTATATTAGGAGCTGATGACAAAAAAACCCCACAACTATACAGAATACTTTAAAACAGTCATAAATTAGTCCAAGGAAATAGTTCTATTAACATTCTTGGTTTTGACTTTACTTAAGGAGATATCTGATAACTTCCCCTAAAAAAAAGTCTGAGCAACTGAGAAAAGAGAATTTCCATAAAGAACTGATATTGGTAAATACAGTGTGAAACACAGAACTTGATAAAGCTTAATAATATTACCTTTTTGGCACTTTCAGGACCCGATTCATCAAAGCGAAATCTGACAATTCTGAAATCTTTACAGTAAATAATTAACTCTGTTGGATTAAATTTCAGTTTCTGGTTGGGACCTAGGACTTTCTGCTTCCTCTTGTGGTCATTTACTAAAAATGAAAAAATAAAGAAAAAATGTGTAAAAATTCTTTCTTGTTACCCAGTCTTTCATACACTTGAACAAATTATTACTGAAAATAATTAAGTTACCCACCATTTGAGCACGGCTTCTCTGGAATCTGTCATATCTGTCTACAACTTCTAGAGCTTTGGGAGATTGGTGTTAACTTTGCTTTTGACTAGATTTTAAATGATCTTTTGCACAAACCACTCGAGACACATTTAATGCTTAAAATTTTAATTAAAGAGAGGACAAATATTCAGAAAACATAAAAAGCTATATATGCTATATTTCCACTTAAAAATATGGGGTGCCTGGGTGGCTCAGTGGGTTAAGTGTCTGACCTTGGCTCAGGTCATGATCTCATGGTTCGTGAGTGTGTCAGCTGTGCTGACAGCTCAGAGAGTGGAGCCCGCTTCAGATACTGTGTTTCCCTCTCTCTCTCTGCCCCTCCCCTGCTAGCGCTCTCTCAAAAATAAATAAATGTTAAAAAATATATAATAATTTATTGACTTCTCTCTCTTTCATTAATGTTCTTAGGACTGAAGAAAAAGGGGAGGGGGAAGTAAACCTATAGAAATAAATTCCAACCCAAGTATCTGATTCTTTAAGCAATACTTCCTAAGAAGAATCAGTTTTCATGGACTGAGTAAAGACTACATACCTGTGACAATTTGCTCAATACATGTTAAAGGGACATCATGCTCACCAAGAAGAAGATTTCTGTAATGGAATTTCTGAAATAAAAAATTATGTTCATGTTAAGTCTTTTCCCAATAACCTCAAATAGTAATAAGAGCCTTACTTTCAAATGTGATGAGAAACTGTGATGTCTATCCCTAAAAAGAATAAAAAGCTTTTGCTTGCAGCACTATGACAATTCTAATTATCGATAGAGTATCTTAGAACACACTTCAGTCGTAAAAAGAAAGAAACACATGCTGTGTTCATGTTCTCTCCACCTTTCTCTTCAAACTTTTATATATGAGGTTAAACTTTACACTACGATACAATATCATTATAATACCTCAGATATATAATATTGTCAATCACTTCATAGGCAACCATTTACATGTCTAGTTCTGGTTAAACTGTCATTAAATATTAAAGAAAAAGGGACTCTTAAGTCATCAGATTTTTGATTTTACAAAGGAGATTTCAGAAAATCACTCTTTAGAAAGTAACTCTTTTTGGGGTGCCTGGATGGCTCAATCAGCTAAGCGTCCAACTTCAGCTCAGGTCATGATCTCATGGTTTGTGAGTTCAAGCCCTGCATTAGGCTCTGTGCTGACCGCTCTCCCTCTCTCTCTCTGCCCCTCCCCTGCTCACACTCTGTCTCTCTCTCTCTCTCTCTCAAAAATAATAAACATTAAAAAAAAAAAAAAGAAAGTAACTCTTTTGAGAGCAGTAATTCTACTGGAAATAATCTTTAGGCAAATTATAGCTTTTTTTTTTTAAAACCTGTGAACAAATGTTTTATACTCATTTTAAAATTCTGAACATAGTTGACACTATTAACCTGCTGACAGTAGAGCACTGGCTTATTTGGCTATTAGTGGTATCAGATGTATGCTATTTCAAGTATATGCATCTCATTTACAGTGAAGTCTGGGCCAGAGATAAAAATGAAGCTAAAAACAAAGGGGAAAACCTAGTCTACAGCCAAATAAGCAAGTGTATCTACATACTAGGTATCTGTAAATGCCTTTAGTCTAAATATACCTACAAAATCTTGCAATAAACACACAAATATATAGTAAATATTTTGATAAATTAATGAATGACTGTATGAAATATACTTACCTCGAGTAAGACTTCAGTCAAAAGTTTGTAATTAATAATCCAAATATTTGAGTAGAGAATAAATTACTATTATAAATAAAAATCCAGGGGTTAAAAGTATTTAACACTTTACACATCAAAATAGAAAAGCTGAGGAAAAGTCCAGAATTTTAAAGTTAATCAAATGAACATCTGAACTTTTAAAAACTGAAATTATATGGAACTACTGTTTTCCAGTGAGACCATAAAATGGCAAGAGGGTGATTAAGGAAAAAATTTACTCATATTTTTCTTCATTCTAACTGTACTAGAAATTTTGAAATTTCAAACTAGAATTTGATGTTTCAGAAAAGGAATTAGTTAAAAATACTATGAAATCTATAAAGTGTGTTGCACTTACACAATTTTTTGCTAAATAAACTTTTTTCTTTATGACTAGTAAAAAATGGACATCTTATTTTTAAAAGCAGTTTAAGATGTGGAAGAAAGAAAATAAGAACTCCCTTATTGAAAGGGATACATAAGCAATAATCACAGGGGATAAAAACCAAGGTGACTCACATCTCACTAATTCTGTTCCTCAAGTCCCAACATTCTTCTTAAACTTTATTTTGAATTTTAATATAATAAATTCTCAACACTGTTAATCCCTTAATGATTTTATTATAGTTTTCCACACCTGTGTTTCATGGAATTATATGTACTCCTTAGAGTCAAATCCTTGATACAATTAACACACAAATGAAACACACCTGTAATGGCATTGGGTCATCCGTAATAAAGGAAATTTTGAAGTTACTGCAGATCAGCTTTCCCCACAGATCGTACTGACTTGTGTCTGTTGCAATACATTTTCTCACAAAGTTGACTTCATTTACGACAATTTCTCCTTTAAAAAAAAAAATATTGTGTGAGCTACAACTATGCCATAAAATGTCTAGTCACTGTGTGGCCTACAAGGACTACTTCCAGATGATGACAGTAAGAAGGGACGCTTACAGGTGCCAGGCACCATGGGTGTTTCCATCCTCACAACAGTACCAGTAACAGCAAGAGACTGCCCCCCATTTATAAGTACAGAAATTGAGGCACAAAGAGCTTAGGGGTCTGAGATGGTTCAACCAGAAAAGCTGAAACTGAGCCTGCATTCTTTAATACTATGTGATACTGCCTTCCACTATCATTTACTGAAAGGCATTCTGGAGAAGAAATAAACTATACTCCTTCAGAGTATTACTGGATGGAATATTTGTGTTTTATTAACATGTGATTTTACATCCCAAACCAATGTCTTTGACTCCTTTCCTAAGGGATGAGAAACAGACTTTGGGTTTAACCCAAAAATTAATAATGTAATCTATTATTGGTAAATAGGGTTCAGGATGGCAAGGTAGGAAGATCCTGAACTCACCTCCTCTCACGAACAGAGTTTATAGCTACATGTAGATAATTTCCTGTTAAAAACAAAAAAACAAAAAAGTAAAGGCAGGGCACCTGGGTGGTTCAGGTGGTTAAACGTCCAACTTTGGCTCAGGTCACCATCTCATGGGTCATGAGTTCAAGCCCACAATGGGTTCTCTGCTGTCAGTGGAGAGCCTGCTTGGTATCCTCTGTCTTCCTGTCTCTCTGCCCTACCCCTGCTCACATGCACACACTCTCAAAAATTAATAAACATTTTAAAATATTTTTTAAAAACCCAACAACACCTGAAGGCTGAGTGATGGCTATACATTGGGCAAATGAGAACGAAACCATATCGAAGCAGGTAAGAGAGGGTGGGGCATCCCTGCATGGTGACCCATGATGAGGATGGAACTCAAAACCCAGAGGCTCTCCCTGAAGAGTAAAGAGTTCAAATGTTACACATCAGGCATCCCAAGTTTTAAGGCAATCCTTAAAGAGACAAGACCTCAAAACAAGAAACTCTGAAAACCAATGAGGCTTGTGTCTCAATAAGACCCATAAGACCATAGAGATCTGAGAAACTGCCCTTAAAAGACTCAGACACTTAGGACTCACCCACCCGAGGGCCCAGGTCAGAGGCAGCCAATGGTACCCAGACTTAAAGTAAAGGAGGATCACCTGCTTATATTAAAGCGTTGGCCCGAAGGGCAGGCATCTACTCTAACATGCTTATCTAGGAGCCTGCTGGAACATTCTCCCAAAACAGAGACTGGTGGCCACCATTTTTGCACACTCCCTTTGCTGTGCTCCACATCACCAGTATCTCCCAGAAGGGAGCTTTTACATGCATCTGGTGCCGCAAGTTTTGTGGCTGCCAACTAGGGAATGCCTCTTGACTGCCTGGCTCTGGAGGCCAGGGGAGCTTGCATTCTTGGTCCCACAGGACTATAATGATCAATGTTACCCAGAAAGGAGCACATGCCCCTGCCTGGAGCCCTGATTTTTGTGACTGCTGCCAGTGGACATGTCTCCATCATGTGGCTCTGGCAGCCAGTGGGATTTGCACTTTTGGGTCTTTTACAGTCACAGGACTGTAACCAAGAGAAAGAGTTCTTGAACAGCTGCCACCCTCAGAGCATAGCAAGAGGCAACAGACCCAGAAGCACAGTCTTTCTGTGAAGGAGGACCGTTAGCTAATCATCACAACTACGGCCTGAGAGGCAGGTTTCTAATTACAGACACATCCAGGGTCTGACTGTAATTCTTTCCAGCGACTGCGGAGGGTGGGCGCTGTCTTTGTGGTCATCCTCTGCAGCACTCCACAGCATCAGTGTCTCCTGGTGGGGAGCTTTACATGTCTCTGGTGCCCTGGTTTTTATGTCTGGAGCCCCAGGTTTTGCAGCTGCTGCCCGAGGACATCCCTTGATCGCCTGGCTCTGGTGGCCAGGGAGGGCTTACATTCCTGGGTCCCATGAAACTGTGGCAATTGGAGATGGCTTTTGGCAAGCTGCCAGCCCTAGGATGCTGTGCAGCCAGGAGACAGGCACAAACCCTCAGTCTTTCTATGAAGGAGACCTCTCTGCTTGTGCTAGAGCCTTGGCTTGAGGGGCAGGTTTCAGGTTGGCATACAGTTAGTGGTCTACAGAACTGCCCTGGAAGAAAGCAGCCTTGTGGGGGCCATCTTGATGTTCTCCCTCTGCCTTTCTTCAGCCTGCCAGTGTCATCCAGAAAAGTGTTTATTCACTTGTCTAGAGCCCTGATTTTTGTGACTGCTACTCAGGGAACATCTGCAGATCTTCCGACTCTGGTGGCCAGCAGGGCTTACACTTGTGGTCCCACAAGACTATATACATTTGCGTATCTTAAAAAGTTGATGCCAGAGGGTTGGCTTCCAGTCAGCTGGAATCTAGGTGCTGAGAACCCCCCTTTGGAACACTGACAGGTTTGGCACATCCTAAACTACTGGAAGCTATTAAAAATATAATAGGCCGTTTGGACAAGCATGACAGTTTGAGAGACAACAAAGAACTGGGGTAGGGGAGAACAATAAGGTTCACCTCCTCTACAAGGACCCTCCTTCAAGACTGGGAGACGTAGTTGTTTCATCTACTGTATAGAAACCAACACAGAGAGTCGAGGAAAAATGAAGAAACGGGGGAATATTCCAAAGGAAAGAATGAGATAAAATCTCAGAGAAAAAACTTAGTTAAACAGAGGTAAGTAATTTACCTGATAAAGAGTTCAAAGTAATGGTCATAAAGATGCTCACCAAACTGGGGAGAAGAACACACGAACACAATGAGAACTTCAACAAAAAGATGGAAGTTCTAAGTACCAAATAGAAGTCACAGAACTGTTGAACACAATAACTGAACCAAAAATACCCCCAGGGGTTCAACAAGAGACTAGATAAAAAAGAAGAACAAATCAGTCAACTCAAAGGCAAGGCAGTAGAACCCACCCAAATCAGAATAGCAAAAAGAAAAAATAATGGAAAAAGTGAGGACAGCTTAAAGGACTTACTGGATAACATCAAATAGCTAGCATTTACATCACAGGGCTCCTAGAAGAAGAGAAAGGGGGCAGAAATTTTATTGGAAGAAATAATGGCTGAAAATTTCCCTAACTCGGAAAAGAAAATGAACATCCACATCCAGGAAGCTCAGCAAGTTCCCAATAAGAGGAACCCAAATAATTAAAAGCAAAAATGAACTACTGGGACCTCATCAAGATAAAAATCTTCTGCACTGCAAAGGAAACAATCAACAAAACCAAAAGGCAACCGGCATAATGGGAAAAGATATTTGCAAATGACATTTCAGATAAAGGGTTAGTATCCAAAATCTATAAGGAACTTACCAAACTTAATACCTGAAAAACAAACAATCCAGTGAAGAAACTGGCAGAAGACATGAATAGACACTTTTCCAAAGAAGACATCCGATGGCCAACAGACACATTGAAAAGATGCTCAATGTCACTTATCGTCAGGGAAACAGAAATCAAAACCATACTGAGATACCACCTCACACCGTCAGAGTGGCTAATATCAACAACTCAGGAAACAACAGATGCTGAAGAGGATGTGGAGAAATGGGAACCCTTGTGCACTGTTGGTGGGAATGCAAACTGGTGCAGCCACTCTGGAAAACAGTGTGGAGGTTCCTCAAAAAATTAAAAATAAAACTATCCTACGACCCAGCAATTGCACCAGTAATTTATCCAAGGAATACAAGAGTGCTGATTCATAGGGGCACATGTACCCCAATGTTTATAGCAGTGCTTTCAACAATAGCCAAATTATGGAAAGAGCCTAAATGTCCATGAACTGATGAATGGATAAAGAAGATGTGGTTTATAAGGTGCCTGAGTGGCTCTTAGGCTCAGGTCATGCTCTTACAGTTCAGGAGTTCAAGCCCTGCAAAGGGCTCTGTGCTGAAAGATGTGGTTTATATATATATGATGGAATACTACTTGGCAATGAAAAAAAAAAGAATGAAATCATGCCATTTGCAGCAATGTGGATGGAACTGAAAGGCATTATGCTGAGTGAAATAAGTCAGTCAGAGAAGGAGAGATATCATATGTTTTCACTCATATGCAGATCTTGAGAAACTTAACAGAAGACCATGGGGGAAGGGAAGGGGAAAAAATAGTTACAAACAGAGAGAGAGGGAGGAAAACCATAAGAGACTCTTAAATACAGAGAACAAACAGGGTGGATGGGGGGTGGGGAGAGGGGCAAATGGGTGATGGGCATCGAGGAGGGCACTTGTTGGGATGAGCACTGGGTGTTGTATGTAAGCAATGAACCACGGAAATCTACCCCCAACACCAAGAGCACACTTTACACACTGTATGTTAGCCAATTTGACAATAAATTATATTTGAAAAAAAAAAGAGAGAGAAACCCAAAGAGACCCATGCCAAGACACATTACAATTACAATGTCAAAAGATAAAAACAAGTATAGAATATTAAAAGCAACAAGGGAAGGGGTGGCTCAGTTGGTTGAGCATCTGACTTTGGCTCAGGTCATGATCTCACAGTTCCTGAGTTCAAGCCCTGCATCAGGCTCTAAGCTGTCAGCACGGAGCCTGCTTTGCATCCTCTGTCTCCCTCTCTGTCTCTGACTCTCTCTCTCTGACAAGAGAAAACAATTTGCTATTACAAGGGAAACCCCATAAGGCCATCAGACCTTTCAGCAGAAACTGCACAGGCCAGAAGAGAGGACACCATATATTCAAAGTGCTGAAAATTCTTTTGACTTAGAATACTCTACACAGCAAAGTTACTGTTTAGAAGTGGATAAAAAATTTTCCAGACAAACAAAAGCTAAAGAAGTTTATCATCACTAAACTGGCTTTACAAGAAATGTTAAAGGGACTTCGTTAAGCTGAAAAGGGCACTAATTAATAACAAGAACACATATGAAAGAATACACCTCACTGAAAAAATAAACACATAGTAAAGGTAGGGGATTAG